CCGCAGCCCCCCAGCCCCCGGCCCGGCCGGGTCGTTCCCACGTCCCCCCGCCGCGGCCCCAGGAAGTGACTTGAAGGGAGCCGGGAATCTGGCCTTCCCGGCTCTTAAATAAGTCGTTTGTTTGTTCGTGCGGCCAGGGCTCTGGAGAGAGAGCCGCGCCGCGYGGGAGCGGCCGTTGGGTCCCGTTAAACCGAGCGGGGAGTCATTCCGGAGCATCGGGGCTCTCTGGGTAACGCCAAGGGCTGTTGTGGCCTGGGCGTAGCGAGCCCGGCTGCTCGGGCTCGCTACATCGGTGAAGCCCAAGGGAGGTAAACGGGTGGGTTGAGCGGCGAGGAAGCTCCCAGAGCCCCGAGCGAGCGCAGTTTCCATGGGCTCCAGTAACTCGCTTTCCTCTTGGCGGGTGGGCTGCCAGGGGCAGAGACTGCTCCATTGAGGTGCTCAGTGAGGTAAGAGGAGGGTGGGAGGAAAGGAGCTGGGGAAGCGTGGAGGGACAAGAGGACTGTGGCAAAAGTGCACTGCCTAAGGCTGCTCGAGTACTTCTGTCTTTGTGCTCCTCAGGAAAAACCTGGGATGGGGAAATTCAGATTCAGGATCTGAATTTCTGCACATCACTGACCTCTCCCACACGGTGGGAAAGCATTTCTTACCATCACATTGTACGAGTCTGCTCACAGGTTTGTAAGTTATACTTTGAAAACCAGCTTCTTAAACAGCAGAGCACATGACTTAACCCTTCCAAGTCTTTGAAACCTTTTAGCTACCCAGCCCTGTTGGGTCAGTTCCAACCCAAACTCTTTTCTCTCCTACATCTGCTACTTTTTTCCATCCTAATGTAGTTGTAGGGAGATTAGCCTTCTCTCCAGGACCTTGTTCATCCTCTTAGCCCTCTTCCACACTTGTTACTGTCCAAATTCCCTAGTCTTCAACACAATGGATAAAGCTGCATGTCCAGAATACACCAGTACTGCAGAAGACAACCCACCAGTGCCAGATAACATCTTTGAGGCATTCTCGCCTAGCAATTATTTTCCTGGTGTGTGCTAAGGCTACATGTGCCCTTTCCACAGCATCATGATTACAAGGAATTGTTAGATGTGAATTCTGTTACCCAGGATCAGAACTCAGAATTTGGATCAAATCAGAATTTGAAAATTACAAACACTTATTTTTTTATTGATTGCAACAGCATCCCATTTGAGGTACTTTCAGATGTTGAGTKCTTCCTACCTACTATTCTGAGCCTCATTTTATTAGCACCACCTCCATGTTTTGCATTACATGCAAATTTGGCAAATGACACGACTAACCCTAGCCTGCCTTGCAGCACACTGCCTTGTTTCTCCCGTTCAGTTAGCTCCTCATCCACTCTACAGGAGCTCTCTTTTCCTGTATCAAGTCCTCACTTTGTGCACATTACAKGTCTTGCTCACCTCCAGAAAGATCCCCCAGTCTCAGAAATTTTGCTTCTTAACATGAATGCACGTTCGTTCTTTCTTCCCACTCTCTCTCCACCATAGACAAGTACCTCAAAGAGATTTTGCAAGGCTAAATCTGTTTTGCCTTTTGTCCTGAACAACTTCATAGAAGGGGATATTTTCTTCAAAACAAAGTCTCACAAATACTGAGGTTCAGCCTAGCAGTTCTTCATAAACTTAGCCTATTTTTCCCCCACTCTTCTTTCTTTAATATGATTTCTGATATTCAAATAGCTGGGGCTGCTATACATTAGTGTTCCTATTTAAAAGCTCAAATGATAGAGCCAATTGACCAGTCGTTTAAGCTGACATAGAAGATGGCAAATGATATTTAAATTTCTCCATTCTTAGGAGGTAATTACAATTCTCCAAGTCCTCCCACACCAGCCCACTTACATAACCCCGTTCTGTTTGTTAAACTTGTTTGAGGGTATTTAACTTGAGCTGACTTCGCTCCTTAGTCATTTGCATCACGCCCAGAGAAACAAGTCTTTGAAACACGCACACTCATAGGGCTGTTACATACACTGCACTGACACGCCTTTCATCTCCCTTAATATCATCTTATCTGACAGAAGGGGGATGGGTAAGAAGTCACTCACAGGATTAAGATAAATGTGAAAAAAAAAAACTAGGCAGATGCATGTGGCTTGTTTGCCCAGGAAATTTTCCTGTTACTCACCATCACTTCTCTTTATCACTCTGTTAGGACCCTAAAACAAGACRTATTTTCCTCTTATTTTATAGTTTCATCCCCTCTACTTCTTGATGAGTACCAACACACAATTTTGCCTTCTCAACAAATACTACAAGCACAGGAAAGCTTACAGGCTAAGATGACAGAGACAGTCAAGTAACTATGGAATTAGGAATCACTTCCTGGTTACCTATATTTCTTCATTAGGTAGGAGAAAATAATGATTAATTATGAAGTTTTTAGACCCTAAGTGGAAGACACAATAGAAGTGAGTAGTATTTACAGCAGAGTTGAGAAGGTACTTAAGCAAAAGGATGGTGGTAATACAGCTCTTTTAATGGAAACTCGCCAATCTACCTTACCAAGTACAAGGGTAAGAAATGGTTACTTTAGCCTTTTACATAAATTCTAATCAAGAAAGTTTGAGTTTTGGTCAGTCAGGTCAAAATTGCCATTACTCTTATTTAGTTTATCATTTGCAGGAATACATTTGAAATCTGCTTCCATTTTTTTTTCTTGTGATTTTAGTTCCTCAAATGTATACCAGTCTTTCAAAACACTTAGCACTCTTACAAATCAATGTTCACTAACTACCAAATAGATATTTCTCCATTTTATTTCCTCTACATTTCCTTGCATGTAGATATTTGGGCACTCATTACATATCCTCTGCTCACTTAATAACTTCCTTGCAAATGAAGGGAAGCAGAGAAAAGAAAGCAGGCTTCAGGAAAARATGTCCAGATGTAGGCACAATATTYGATTTTTGTGAATCAACAGTTGGTTTCTGCAGTTCAAGATAGTGCACATCTGAGCTTTCCTACCAGTCCCTTGGTCTGGGAATTGGGTCTGTTTTCCAATCAAATCTAACCACGTTATCATTGTAGCTCTAGGACAGTCTATGCAAATCTTGATATACATTCCAGATCTACCCTCAAACATACCAGAGGGGAATGAAACAAACCCAACTCTGATATAAAATCTGCTGTCTGCTTGTTCCGCCTTCCTTCACGCAGCATCACTTCTGCTGTACTTTCAAGTCTATTAATAGTAAAGTTATTAGGGCAAGAGGTTGATGCTCTAACAGCACTTGTTCTTCGGCAGAAGCAGTGACCACACAGACAGTACCACTTGTTTCAGTGAAGGGTGACAGAAGCCTGTCAGTGGTTAAGTGCTGTGGGACTGCACCCTTTTTCCCTACTCTCATATTTTCAGTATATAACCTTTGAACATAAGAGCTCCTGAGAAAGAGGTTCTTCGAGTTATGAACACATTGTTATTTTAGTTTGAATCAAGAGCAAACTTTTGCAGCAAGTCTCCTCATTTTCTCACTCAGTGCATTTTGATTTACCTTGAAGAGAAGTCTCAGAATGCTTTGTTTCTTCCCCAAAGAGTCTACACAGGAAAACAGATTGCTGAAATAAACCCCAAATGGTAACAAGCAGCCAGTTCACAAACCTGACACRAAGCACGAGACAGCAAAAACCTCTTAAACGCTTATAGTGCAGGAAGTGATGTGTTTTCAGTGGGATGCGCTGTTTGGYGATAGCCATTATTAAACATCCACTTTCCATATCTCCTTTCCTACCTCTAAAATAAACCTTTAACACAGTAACATTGTGGTATTACACATGGTTGCCCTACTTTGTCAGTGACTCAGTAAAGGCACCGAGGAAGCACCGGCCTCCCCCTTCTGCTGTAGCTTCTGTTTCTGAAATCTCTTATCCTGACAAAGGGCTACAAAGTCACACAGCTCAAATTAAAACGAACATAATCCAATGAGAACTTGCCCGAAGGAACAGCATCATTACACATCCCAATGTAATGCCTGTGTATTTACCAACTGCTTTCAGATGCAGATGCTACAGGAAGTTTCCCAGAGGCTTTGGAAAATATATATGTATTATATACTTTTTTTTCAAAACACATTAACTTAAAACAAAAAACCACTGCAGTATGTCRGGAACAAAACTAAAGTAGAAATTTCTTATTGCTCTCAGTTTGGCCCCTGAGTATTTCCTATCAGAGTAAGCCAGGATACAAAARAGTTAACTGTTGCTTTTTTCTCCTTTGTAATACTGTTAATCACACAGAAAGAGTCCTGTTTTTGTTGAGTACTCAATTATCAAAAAAACCCCAAACAATCCTTCCCCCAAAACAGACCAAAAAAGCAAAACCAAATCCCATTTATCTGTAATTTTCCCCTTCAAATAATTTATGAAGCAACAAGTCTTGTTCTTTTATTTATATAAATTACACAACAATTATAGTTTTTTTAAAACAATGAGACGAGTCTGTATTTAGTACTTCAATCATTGTTCTCAGTGTTGGAAATRTCTCTGATATTGATGGCAGAGTCTTGTAAGAAGGAGAAATACTGAAAAAAGGAAAAAAGAAAATTAACGATCTTTTCCTGAATTTAATGAATTACCATGAAGTTAACATGTTAGCATTATATTTTTGCTCATCCCTTTCTCCTACAAATTTGGAAATGGAATTCAAGAATCTGTTGCCCACTGGCTTTTGCTTCTCATGACTTCAGAAAGCGCTGTAAGTATATAAACTGAAAATAACTACCAAATAAAAAAGCCTTCTGAAATGGCAGGAATTAAAGGCAAAATTTTATTGCTTTAAGTCTTTAAGTCTTAGTTACCTTCCCACTATTATCCCTATGCTGCTGACAAATTAGTCAGGTTAATTACCTGTATGTCATCACTTCAGATCCTTCAGACTGTGGTTCTATAGATCCTTTCCATCAATCTCAAGCAAAGCCTGTTCTCCTGATTCCTGGCCCATTACACATCTCTCTCTATTGACCCAGGAAAAGTGTTGGTGGAAATGCACCATGAAACGGTCCAGGTTAAAAACAAATTTTATCTTTGCTATGGTTATTTTTAAATTCAGACCTGGTTTGCTACAGATCCTGTAAACAGGATTCAACAGTGCAACTGAGAGGGTCAGAAACACATAGGAAAGGTTGAAGCGGCTTAAACTGACTCTAATCCTAAGATAAAACCTGCTCTGTCCTAGTAAAGATGTGTCAATTTATTTTTGATACATCAAKAGAGGATTAAGAATAAGGTTAAGCAAGTAAATTGGGAAGCCTTAAAAAAAAGTGGGAACCATAAACATTCTAAATTTCCAAGAATCATAGTATTCAGTTGAATTATAGTATTTGTGCAGACTGCTTTCACTAAAAATCCACTACTGTAGAAGAAGCATCAACTGCAAGGCTCCTACTGTATTTTAAAAATGTCCCCACTTAATACGGACTGAATATGTTTATATTTACATGTAGAATTTTAATCCGAGCCTGAACCAGATGCACCTGAGTCATCTTAATGATGATCTTTATTTTAAATGAGATATGCACTCCAGCAAGATCTACGGCCACAGATAAGTTAAACTGCACTARCTAGCAATATGTTTGTTTAGTACTAACAGCAACCATACAAATGGTCAGTAACACCACAGGATGACCCAGGTTGTAAGTGACCTTGGAAACTCCATCATCTGACAAACTGTTCAAAGAATGGTCAATTATAAGGTTGCTCAGGGCTTTAATCCTGCTGGGTCTTGGAAACCTTCAGGGCAGAGCCTGCACCTCCGAGCAACCTGCTCTGCTACCTCAGGGCAAGGAAGTTGTGCCCAGCCTGAACCTCTCTCTGCTGACCCCACTTACACATGTTGTCTCTCCTCATCCCCCTGGGCACCACCATGAAGAGCCTGGCTCCACTTTCTTGACACTCCTCCATAGACACTGGARGCCAGCCGTCGAGCCCCTACAAAGCACTTCTCCAGTGCTCTCAACAAGCCCAATTCCCTCCTGGTAAGGAAAGTTCTCCAGCCTCCTGACCATCTTGGTGGCCCTTGGCTGAATTTGCCCCATTTATCATTTCATGTCCTGAAGTGGCAGCTTGGGTCAAGTGTTCTAGGTGCAGTCTGAGGAAGCGCAGAGCAGAGCAGGATGGAGATGGAGATGGAGGATGATGCTGCTGGGCACCCGTGGTCCTTTGCTGCAAAGCTGCTTTCCAACCCATCAGTCCCCAGCCTGTACTGCTGCACAGGATTCTTGCCTTTTAGGTACAGACTTGGTATTTGCACTTCTTAAATTTTGTAAGGCTCTGGCTGCTCATTCCTTCAGCCTGTTTAGGTTCTCCAAAATGGCAGTATTCCCAAGTGTAACAACTGGTCTCCACACCTTGTTATCTGCGAACTTCAAGAGCAAGGACTCCTTTGCCTCTGCCAGGTTCCTCATAAAGATTATGAAGACTGGTCCTAGGACAGACTCCAGCAGTGCTCCAGTTAAAGCCTATCTAGTTGTCCATTCATTTAGGCCAAGCTCTCCTACCTTGCTACATGAAAATTGTGGGAGACTGTCAAACGCCTTGCTAAAGCCAAGGTGAACAATATCCACTACTCTCCCCTCACCCACAAATCCATAACACAGAAGGCAATCAGCTTGGCCAGGCATGATTCAACCTTGGTAGAGCCATGCTGGCTGTGCCAAACTACCTTGTTTTTGTGTCTGTGAACAGGTTCCTAGAGGACTTGCCTCATGACTTTCCCAGGAACCAAAGTGAGGCTTCAAAACTGTCATGAACTTTGAAAATACTCCCAATTAAAACAGGATGGTGCATAAATGGTGCAAAATCCAGAAGGATCTCTGCTATATKGCTAATGGAGGAAGGATGTCTGATTTCATCAGAGTACTAGACCGAACACAGTCTGGATCAAGTTTTTGCACTCACATTTCAGCAAATGGGTGGAAAGTCTTGTGGGATAAAAGAAACTGGATAAGCCATGCGGGGGCAGGAAACTAGCACTGTTGGGAACAAATTTTTGAAAAGCCCAAATTTTACATTTTTAAGGTCTGATTAGTGACAGCAGCACAATACGCCAATTCATGACGGGTTCAAAAATGAGTTTTACCTTCTCATTCACTCTTTATGTGTCTAGTAGTATCATATGTAAGCACACTTCTGAGGTTCTGTTTAAAAAGATGTATTAAAAAAAAACCTCACCCACATCTTTCCTTAATCATTCTGAAGAAACAATTTACCTTTTTAGATTCATCCAGCTCCTTGCTATTTTGCTAAAAGCTTCAGACCCTGGTGCTGTCATTGCTTCAAAATCAACCAGCTGAAATGCAACAAAACAAAAAAGATCTTACATGAGAAGTTTTAAATTCTTTAATTTCAGAGGCTTTAATATTCTTAATAGTTAAATCAAAAACTAAAACTGTATCATCCTTTCTGTGGTAAAATCAATTAAAAAAATCTCTTGACAAGACATTTACATTAACTATTAGGTACCAGAAAATACTTCAATACAGGGCTGGAGACAGACAACACCTTAATAAAACTTCGGTGTTTTTACACTGATTTTACAGCCTGTATTCTGCAAAATGACGGAGTATCATTGGAGGGTAGATCTACCCTGCTCTGCAAATACAGAATATAAAAAACAGAGCAAATACACTCTGTATTACTTCTTTCACTGGCAGACCTGCCGAGTGACATGAACRTGACGCTCTGAAGCTGGACATCCTTGGCTTCAGAGCAGGCTGATAATGTATCCTCTCCTAARCCTGGGACTGGAAAGCCCCTTCTAGTGGATCTGGCAAAAAGTCCCACATAGYTTTATGCAATTGAAAAACAACCAACAAACCCAACAATTTCTTCCAGGTGACAAAAATTTTTTAAAAAAGGTTTTGTTCCAGTTCAGGCACAGAAGTGGCTCCAAAGTTTTTGGCAAGTCAGAAATCTTGCTTTTAAGTAAGCCTGTGAAACCTCTGCATAAATCAGCCAGAAAAAAAAAAGGAACTACCCTATTCAGGGTACCTACCCTAAAAGCATACAACTTCCCCAGATAAATAAGTCTTCTACTTCAGCTGGAACTCCTATAGAATCCTGAAGAGATCAACTTAGTGACCCACTAAAGAGAAAGCTACTTTGCTATTAAGCAAGTGCACTCCACTCTTAAAAGCTATTAGGAGCTCAGTATAAGACTTGTTTCATCTGTTCTAAGCTTTGCTTTGTCTTTCATGTYATAAACCTTCTGAATTCATTGCAATGAAAGGACAAACTTTGGTGTTTTCAAATGTACTGCTGGAACAGAAGGGAAAGTCACTCTCCAGATATGCATGCAAGATGTTTTCTTCAAAAAAGCTGATTCTCATGAGAACTCCTTTGATCCTTCCAATAATGCATTAAACAAAGGAGCCCTTGCTCCCTGCATGCTGAAGGGGCAATACAGCTAACAGATTAACAGCTGAAATAAATTCACAATCAGGATATGACTGAATACATAAAGGAAACCCCCATCATAGAGCAAGGTGATATAATTTTGAATTCAGTGACTTTAAAACTAAGACTTCATTTTGAATTAAGCAGGATACAGATGGGAAGGGGCAATTAGGAGAAGTTGTAAAGGTATTCCAGAGCATTTAGAGGTTGACAGGTAGAAATACATTGAGACCAAAGAAAGAAAATTTCTGCTATACACCCAGAAGAGCTAGTAATTCTGCTCAAGTACTCTCAGAGCACTTTCACATGGCCTTGGAAGAGCTGCTCAGCACACAAAATGGCACCAGGGTTAGAAAGGTGTCATTACTGTGGCAGACAAACAATAWCTGAGTTAAGCAGAGATACTGCAGAGGCTACCTCTAAACCTCACCTGCTGTCAGAACAGATGTGGAAACTTAAAAACTCTCTTTAAATGGCTGGATACCTTTTGGGTATCAATCATTGTTAAGAGTATCCTAATCRTTGTTAAGCTTCCTCCCAGCACTGAAGTATTACTGTCTTTAACAAGGCTGAGTCTGTGTGATTTGATACTTGCCTTTCCTTTAGGGATTTTCCCTGATATTTCTTTTCCACTCGCCATTAGTGCTCCCATGATCACCGAATAAGCTATCACACTAAAAAAGAAAACAGAGAAGTCTTTCCATAATACTATTTTAGATAATGTAGATGAATCTACTACTATTACAGAGAAGATGCACAACAGTATTTTGCTACTTTCTTTGGAACAAAAATGTGCATAAAACACTTAAATTTGGAGAGTGAAATCACTTTCATTCTCCAATACCATGGGAATGAATTTTCAGTCCCATGGAGATGAACAACTGGAAAACACTGTTTCTACGGGTGTCTGAATCATGACCTTAGACTTGTGAGCTCTTAAAACTCCACAGAAGTTAAAGACAAATCAAACTTCTTTTTTAGAGAACATTAACTACAACCACAGTCCAGCAGAGCTAATGAACTTTGCTGCAACAGAGCTTGAGTCATTGCAGAGCAGAAAGTGAACTGCTTCACCCTACAACTGTTCATTATTTAACTTTTTGTAATTGTGAAATTTCTGTTCATTTTTGTATTCTACAAGGTAAAAATAAAGCTTGATCACAGAAGTGAAAAGTCTCTTTTTTTTGAACTAAACTATATTTAGTAATATGGTTGAAACTCTTAAGTGCTCTGTGGAACAAAGATTCAGCATAGTCTTAGATGTAACCTTCTTTGAATTAAACTGGAATTTCAATTACAGAGTCAAAATATGGGGAATTTATTCTGAAGTTTCACTTARTGATCCTAGCAGCTGTAATAAAATTACTGAATTAATATTTACTCTGTAGTGTTCCTTATTAAAACTAAGCCATCCTAAAAGATATTTTAGTTAGGATACATATTTGAGTATTTTTTGAGTGAAATTACACTACTGCAATGTAATTTGGATTAGAAACTGGTATATTACAATTTTAAAAAATGACACTTTCAGTCTGTGAGCTGAAGTCTATAAATACAAACTAATTCTTTTACATATGCATCAGTAATGACAAGCCAGCCTTTAAAATAGTGCAATGTCAGCCCCCATTGTCATGGCAGCATAAAATGAGACACTACAGGATAGACTTTTCAACTCTGCACCAAAAACAGAGGTTTTTTTTTTTTTTTTTTTAGTTCCTTAAAATATATTAAGATACTGGAACATACAGGCATTTTACAGAATTTCTGAAGAAAACAGACACACGATAAAAGAAAAATACTAACCTGGATCCTCTTGAAAGAGGCATTAAGTTATAGAAGTAATAAACTAATGACAGAATCAAGTTGCATACAGCATCTGCTTCCTAAATTTAAAAAAGAACAAAAAGATAATTAACCACTTCTGGTTTAGACAGAAAAACAAAAAAAAAAATGTAGAGAATCCATAAAAAAAGTCTTATAATACATTTGTTTTTCTAAGAAACCATTTCAAATGTTAAAAACAAAAATCAAGCTGATAAACATCTGTCAATCAGACTTCAGTTTAAAGGAGATTATTCCATTATACATTTAACATTTCAGTTAACTTGTACTGTGGTAAAGGACAGAAAACATGGAAACAACCACCTCAAATCCAGTCAGATCCACAATTACAGCTCTTTGCCATGGATATGTGGTTTCATGCTACGTTGGGCTAGATGATCTCTAGAGGTCCCTACCAACCTTGAACATTCTGTGATTCTCACCTCTGGCCACCATGGACCAAATCTACACACAATCTTAAGCAGTACTTGCAGGAAAGTGAAGCAGTGATCACAGATTTACTGTATTAAGCAAACAAACAAAAAGCGTATTTCCATGTTGAACCACTTTGTGACACCAGAACTTCCTTGGCTGGACTTCTGCTGCAGCAGAGCAAACTAAGTAACAAGTAAAAACACTGCAACTTATTTTAACTGTYGTAATTAGGCTTGAACAGGGAGTCATTTTCATTACTTAAAATCTTCACTACTTAGAATCTSAAAGGGGTTTGTTTGTTTTAAGAGGTACTTGTTAAACATAACGTATAAAAACATAACAGAAAAACATCAAGAAATTCATCATTTCTATCAGAATAACCTTACCCCAAGCTCTGCAGACAGAACTAGTACTTTTCCTTTAGCTGTTAGATCCTTATATAGTGCATCTATTTCTGCATGATACAGCTGTGTTCTTTCTTCAGTGGTCTGAGTTTCTACTGAAAATAGTATGTTCCCCACTCTGTCAAGCAGATTAAACAAAGAATTTTTGCACAGAGCCTGACGAACAATCAAATATCCAAATATCCAATATTCAACAAATTTACTAAAGGGTCACATTGTAATCTTTTCCTATCATTCTTCTTAAGAATGAGCATAAATGAATTGCATGTCCTTCCACAGCAAACACAGAAATTAAAGATACTGTGTCATGCTCTAAGTTTTTCTGGTGCAGTTCGTAGAGACTGATGTCTGATCTCAGATGAAGTATTTCCACCAAAGGGTATCTGACAAGCACTAGCGCTTCACTTGAAGTGTGTGTTTCTCAGGGCCATGGGCAAGGAGAAGRTATCTTTAAATATCTTCTTGGTTTCGGCACTTTCACATAGAAACTTTCACTGTAGTTTTGTTAAGATGYAAGCCACTAAACTGGAACTGTCTCTGCATAATAGTGTGCTTAAGACTATAGATTGAAACAGATCTGTTTAGAAAAAAACCTCTACAGAACAAAATTATACAGTTCCAACAGCACTAAAGCATCTTCCCAAGACAGTGGTGCCATATATTTTACATCAACTTACTATATTCAGACCTATGACTTAGAACGTAAAACTAAAAACTGAGAGATAAGTTAACTTGTTAGTTTGTAAGCCCAGCATCCACACACTGAAAACGTAAAAGTTGTGGGAAATTTTCCAATTTAAAAATCCCATAATAAAGCAGAGGTCAGCACCGTCTACTCAAACCTCAAGCTGGTAGCTGGAAGTGGCTTTTGAACTTCAGCTTAATAGTAGTGCTTTGAGAAGATAAAGAGCCAGTATCCCTAACAGGAGGCAATTACCGAGGCAATTACCGAGGGCCCACAGCCCCCTAACAGTGCACAATGTGCACAATGGCACAGTCTAAACGGGCAATAACAGATACAAGATCCACAATTAAAAGAAAAAGAAGAGTTTTAAAGTTGTGAAACCAAATAACCAAATAATACAGACAGCTTTTTCCATTCCATCACAGGAATTTCCATTCCACTCAGGACTTCTGATGTCCATAGCACCCAAGGTCTCACAAGATATTTCAGTAAGGATAAAAAAGACTTTCCTCCTCTAGTATTTTATAACCTACAACTAATTACAAGGTCTCTTTTCACCTACATGATCTGTTCACATCAACTGGGCCTGCTCYTTAAATATTACCCGTATTCCCCTTTTGTTAAGGAAGGCAATGGGAATGAGAATACCTCAGATAAACAAAAATCTTAGTTATTTGCACAAAGGCCAACAAGGAAACACAAAATCCACTTTACACAAGCAGAAAATGGTGTCTGGATACCAAATTAACTGCTAATACTTCACTACAGCATTTCATGCATATATTGAAAACAGCAAACATACTTATCTCCTGTTATTGTAATTGTGAACCCGTCATATTCTTTCCCTTGATCTTTGAGGCTAGGGACTTTAGTGTTCACAGTGAACCCGTCTCTTGTTTTACTGTTAAGCTGCTTTCAAAAGAAAAAACAATGTAATATTAGAGAAGATGCACAGAGACAGACCTCTTAACTATTGTTCTAAAATACCAGGAAACACTTGGACCAAAAAAGAAAATGGACAACCTGGAAATGACATTATTTCACTTGTTACTCCCAAGTATTGAATGAGGGATACTGCAATTCTATTTCATATAGTGAAAACAAATCTGCACTTCTTGTGACAGTGACTGTATAAAGCAGTTCAAATACAGATACAGATGACAAAGACTTTCTCCAAAGTTGCACACTGATAACAACCATTTGGTATCACAATGTAAAGGCAAAAGCCTGAGTTTTAGAGCCTGGATTTTCTGTTTATACTGACAAGGAAATGCAACAGCATAAGATGGATTCTAGAATATAGCTCCTAGCAACAAATTTCTTAACTGTAATCCAGGCTCAATTAATGTTTATCCTCATCAGGAGGAATGATACCACATTTGAAGAATTTCACAAAGATGATTTAGCTAAGTGTAACATGTAGCCAAAGAGCAGTAACTATGTATAAACCATGCAAAACTATTTAAAATAAAGCCAAAAGCCCAGCTTTTGACATCCAACTTCTCCCAACTATCTGAATAACCAAACTGTGTCAGTATTAGCTAGCATTCATATAAGGAGGCATTACTGATGACTATTGTGCAATAGTTACATGCAATTTATTCAACAGTAACACCCTAGATCATTAGTATTATGTTGAAATAAATTATGGCACATTTAAACCTAAATAATCTGTGTTTATTTTAAAGAAACAGATTTAAAAGCCTTTATTGAGAAACAGCATTCCAGGTTGATACTATTTAGAATGAAATATAGGAAATACAGAGATTCAAACCAAAACAAAATGCATTGGTTATGAAAATGAGAAAAAATACTTGTTGGCAGTTCTCAGAAACATTATTTCACAATAAGATATGTATAGTCTGCTATGTTTATACATTTTCATCATCCTCTAGGCGTAATCTGTATYTTCAAATCCACTAAGAGCATTTTTTCTGGCCTACAATCCAATAGCAGTAGTACCATATTAGGTGCTCTGCAGGGCCCTATTTATACATTCATGTGCCAGTAGGGAACACTTAATTGTCTTTCCAATACCAACATCTAGTATTTACTTTTCACAAGTTTTTATTTAGATTCTGTTGTCATCCACTTAGTTTCCTCTTACAAAAAACAAAGATGAGGACAGGAATATAAAAAAGTGCTTCCAAATCTACTACCTGCTCTTCAAAAAGACACTTGTAATAGCTACTGAAACACCCCATGGAAACACGTGCGTGGTTGGGCCTGGACCACACAGTGTCTCTAGGACACTCAGAGCGCACAAGGGGCTGAGCAAGTTCAAAACTGCTCTCAGCAGCAAGATGCACGTGCTTGCAGAGAAGGCTTCTCCACGGCAATTAGTCACCTTGGTCTTGGCCTCTGCATAGGAGAAGACAATGAGGTTGTCTCTGGTCAGAGTGACTACTCTCTCCCAAATTCTATTCTATTCTGAATTAAATCCTGTTCAATTTTTACCAAATAAATACCGTGTAACAACATTTTCACAAATATTTGTGCTCTTTTCATCATTAGCTGGCAGGAGAAGGGAGGCATACATTTTATATAAACTCAGTCCAAGTCTGATGCTTAAATTGAGAGGATAAGAGGATACCTTATTKAACAAGGCACAGGATCCAGTTCCTTTATACAGAGACCATCACCACAAAGCAGAAAAAAAMCTCAGTCCCCAGCTCCTTTTCTCGTAGTCTTCCAGAGTACAATATACTGATTACCTATAACTGTAGGGCCATTACAGAGGGTCACAAGTCTTCCCAGTTGATAAGACTGGCTTCAAAGAACTCCATTTAATACTTTGTTTTCCCTTCTTTTCTTTTACCAATTCACAATTAGACCTAAGCTTCCAAGTATATAGCACATGTCAGCATATATCTAAAGAAAGGTTAACCCTGCCTATACAGATTTGAAATAACCTGAATGACTGTTTCCAGTTACTCATAATAAGGTTACATTCTGAAAAACTAGATACTTGCCCGTATAAGTTTCATTATTTTCAGCACATTTTAAAGATTTATTTTTTCTTTAATTTACCTTCATTATGGGAAGAAGGTCTTCTACTTTATGTACCTTTTCCAATGCTTCTCGAACCTCTAATAGTCCTTTTGGATTATTAGCACTGAAAAGAGACACAGAATTGTAATGGTTGAACAGAGCAGGCAAGTCTGGGAATCCATATAACTTTAACCTAATTAACTATACCAATGGTCAGTGAAATACATTACTGAAAGTTATTTAATTATTTCTTTTCAGAAAAGTGAGTTCTTGCATATTTAGCACATGCTTCTCTATTACAGCTCAAGAGAAGCATTTTCTTTCTTTAAAATGTAATTTCTTCCTATACCATTTCAGATATTTTTCTCAGCTTCAAACTTCAATTTCAGACTGTAAGTTTCTTTCTTGTTTGCTCTCAGAACACTAAACAGCACTTGCATGAATGTGTGTGGGCAGGGGATTGCTAAGGAAAGGTCAAAAAAGAATAGGAATAGCTTAAAAAATACTCATCTAAGAATGCACGCATTTATGTAGCCTTAAAGGTACATAAATATCACAGACAAACTGTGGGGAAACCTACTGAAATAGCTCCCTCATATGACTAGTGACGGCACCAAAATTTTAAAAAGAGGTATTTAAACACCATAGCACAAATTGCTCTGGTTTAAGCTCAAATACTACTGACTCAGTCTGGACAAGCTTTCTCTCAATAGAGGACAGAATTCTCAGTTACTACAAAGCTTATTAAACCTTCAGCAGGTACCATAAACGTTTTAAATTTTAAGTGTTTCAAACTATTATAAGGCGCTTCTGCACTTTATTTTTGATATTTAAGTAATACAATGAGATTGAATAACAGAACTCAATACTCAAATTAGAARGCCAAAGAAAAATTAGAGAAATTGATATCTAAGACATTATTTTAGCTTTTTATCTGAAGACTGTTGCCACAGATCAGCTTTGAAAGACATTTAACTCAAAAAAAATGATCAAAGGTTGAAATTTAGATAACCTTTAGTCACATTCCTTCATTTAAGATTCTACAACCGTCTTCTTTCCCAGATCAACATCTATCAATTCGTTTAAGCAATAAGCAGTAAAACTTTCTCCTGAAAAACTACCTGCCAAATACCACAGTTTCAATATTCAGAGAAACTGTACTCTCTTCTACCAGAAGGGAATCTGGTGTCTTTAAAAAGTTGAGGGGGAACAAAGGTTCACAGTACTGACAATCACTCATATTGGAAGTATGGGTACAAATGCAATATTGTTATTTATTTATAGGTATAGTTTAATTCACATAGTATTTTTTTTCCCTGATTGCTTTATTTTAAGGGCATTTCTACTAAGAAATACGACAGTTCAGATGCTAAGAAAAATAGAATTTACTAGAATTAAGAAAATATCCCTCACCTTTCTGGAACTCTATGTCAGTATCATATAAAATTCAAAATCAATGTTACTAGAGAGAAGGGGGAAAAAAACAGTAATTTACCCATGATAAACCAGGATCCTATCTTTGATAAAATGAAGAATTTTCTCAAAATACTCCATGTACCTCATATTAATGACCTGCCCCCTACAAAGAAAAAAATAAAAGTTAAAATCCTTGTTTCTCAACCTTAACAGCACACTTTAGAGCTAAAATAGAGCTAAAATACAAAGATTAAAATCTGTCAGATTTTTATTTACAGGTGCATCACAAATCACAGGAAACAACTAGTGGTTTGCCAGAACTGGTGAACTCTCCAAAAYCCATTTTGAATATAATTTCAAAAATGGACTTAAAAAAAATGAGGTATCATTGGTGCTGTTGTTCCCTGATAAATGTGATATTACATGGACATTTTCCCTTTTTTTAGTGTTCCCATGTATAATGCAACATATCTATATGATAATCATAGATATGTACCAGGAAACCATTGCTCTTAGAGTTATGTATCCTAGAAAAAAWTTACAGAATAAAGAGGGAATTATCAATGCCCATAGTGACTTCTTTGGGAATTAACCCTCTCCAGTTTACATATTTGCCAATATAAGTGCTGATATGCTCTGACTGTCCAAATACAGTTTTCTTTCTTCACCTAAGCCTCTATGCAGAGCAATTTTGCTTTCATGCTYAACAGTTACAAGTAGTAACTGTTAAACAAAAATGACAAAAAAGGTCTATTTTCCCTTGGAACAGTAAGGAAAAAAAAGTTGGTAAAATCCTACTAGGATTATAACCACTCTGAAAGGGAAAACTACATACCATTATTGTACTTGAAGCAGTCCTTCCTCTTCTCCCAGTCTACAAAACAAGATTTTATAAAGCAAATGTTACCGTTTTCTGTTTGAGGAAGCAAAACCACTGTCAATCACAGGAAGGTGGATATATCTAGCTTTTATTCACTCTAAACAGCTGATTTGCACAGTTTAACTCTAATATCTCACTACATGGCCTCACACTGGCAGAATCAGTCTTTAAAAACTAAAACAGAATTAGACAATATATATATACACATACACATATATATGCATATAGAAAAGGAAGGAGGAAAAGAGACAGGATGAAAACAAAATTCCATATATAATTTGCCCTTGTTGTACGTCCCATCATTTTCCATCTTAAATAATAATAAAAAGTACAACAGGCAGAAGTGTGTCAGAATAAGGCACTGGATTTTCTTTCCTTTGGAGGCATCTTGTAAAAAAGAATCCAAGCGAGACCATCTAGAAGCAGTAGTGCTGCTTTCAAGTACAGTTTAAAGGATCTTTCCCTCCCTTATCTCCTCCTAGTGCTTTCCAACCTTCATTTTGTCAAACGAGCTGTGCCCATACACACTACATCAATAAGACTAGCAAAAGTTACATACAATAAAAGACACTGAATCAGCGCAAGTAAGGAAGTTACAGTAGGGGCTATTGCAGCAGTTGTGCTCACTTCCAAGGGAAAGCACAATTTCCTTAGTCTACACGTCAAAATACTCTACTAATGTTTAAGTTGCAGCCAGTAGAAACAACAACTTAAATATATTTTTGGTATATCTAATAATCTTGGAGAGTTGCCATTTGTCAGCCTGAATAACCTACTATTGTACCTGGAAACCAGGTAGAAAGCTATAGAAAGAATTCAGTCTTAGCCTGACAGTACAAGAATAACATTCTAATGATAAGCTGAATACAGAGCAATGTATGTCTTCCTGAAATAACAGTTTATAGGTCTGAGATTATTTTATGGCCTTTAAACAGAAAGACGTCAGCTTTGTAGACTGTTATTAATTTCAATTAGCAGCTATCTTATAGTTGATTAAGGTAGTAAAAAAAGGGAAGTATACAATCTGTATAAYCCAGTAGGAGTAAACTCTCATTTAGAGATCACATGCATGTTTCCAAAGTAACATTTCAGAAACTATTAGCACTTTATATTAGTTTCTTTTAGCCTTTGCCTGATCCTGATAAAATGATCAGGAGAGAATCCAAATCAGGAGAGATCAGGAGAGAATCCAATAGCAGACAAATATACTATATACAGATGAGCTATGAAAATAGCTATTACTCTGGATGCAAAAACGGTCAAACAGGTATAGGTTCCCAGGATGAAAAAGGGTGTAATCAATATCCATAGCTCAAGTATGATCAGTTCCTCAGGTGAGGGTATTTAGGGTGCTAAAATCTAAGAAAAATCCTTCTGGAAAAGCCCTGAGTAACTCACTCCCGCTTTGAAAATCTTCCCAACCCGCCTGRATGCCACCCTGTGCCCCGTGCTCTGGGTGTCCCTGCTGGAGCAGGGGGTTGGACTAGAGGATCTCTAGAGGTCCCCGCCAACCTCAGCCGTTCTTTGAGTCTGTGACTGGCTGTTGAGAAAGCACAATCAAAATGCTGATAAGGTTCACAGGAAGTTAATACTAAGTCAAAAATGAAAGGTTAGAATTTAATTCACTGTTGGTCTGCAATTCTGAATGTTCCTAAAGTTTAATTCAAAGTTGTAAGGAATCACCAAAATTGCTGGAACGGTAGATTACAAGGGGTTGGGGTGGGAGGCATCCTGAGGGGAAAGGAAGGGAAAGGGAGGGGGGAAAGTAAGGTACTTTAGCCCATAAAAGCCAAAGCTGTTGACACAGAGATTGGGGCACAAGGACACAACTTCAGCAGATTAAGWGTTCAAAAGTTATTTTCAATGTGGTAAGAGACATTAAGCTCTTTCCTTCCCTTTGTCCTCTCTTTTCCACAGAACTACTCAAAAAGAAAGAAAGAAACAAAAGCAGGATGACAGACCACAAATTCCTTACTCCTTGAAAGATGCAGGGAAGAAGGCAGGAAGGGAAGTAAGATGAAACCTGGCTAGRAACTTACTGGCACAAATACACTCTGCTCCTGTGATTGACAGTGATGTTGCCACACTGAACACCTCGCCCTTCTAGCACTCCATGGGAGGTAGCACTGTCACGACTCAGCTTTGCAGCTTGGGAGAAGATGGAACGTACAACAATGGTTGATCCTTTCATCTACAACCTCCATTTGAGGGTGAATTTGTTAAYAGTCACTTGTTTTCTCCTCTTTGCTTTACTTTTTCCTCCTCTGAGGACACTCAAAATGCTACATGCTTCCTCTACTCATTTTGAGAAACTGGTATTAAAAGTAATAGAACAATATTGTTTCATTATTGCTGCTACTATCTTTTAGAAGCAGTATTTGTAAAAAAATACACCTACAGTAATTAACCTTACTCAAACGTAAAAATTAGATCATTTAGGAATAAAAACAGYGTGTAAAAAATATGTATATTTTGGTTACTATTTATTTCTTCCCAAAACACAGTTGTAAAACTGAAATTCAGGAAAAAGAGGAAGTGCCCTGAAGGAAAATTTAGGGCACGCATAAAACAAGATGTTCCACTAGGAAATATAAATCTTTTTTTTTTTAAAGCATATATACAGTCAACACTGTTCCATACTGTTTCATGATGGCATATATCAGTCTGATTGCTTGGTGGGAGGAGAGAGGGATGAGAAATTGTTTGGTAAAAGTCTCATACCTGATTAAATTAATGTGATTATTGAAACCTCTGCTAAGGCTTCGGGCAGGCATTTGATCTAGCCAAAGCACAGGCTGGTCAGGGTCTGCTATCCTAAAAAGAGAAAGGATATCAACATGGGCATATATTTCTCTCTATATATTTGTAATGTAGGAAAAAAAAGTAACTTAAAGTGAAAAAGTTAAAAAAGTATCTCAACTTGTGAATTCACAAAAACTTTGTTTATGCACATAATCTTAGGGAAAAGTTAGAATTCAGAGATCACAAAGAACAAAGCTTTTTTTTTGAAATGCATACATTTTTATAAAATGAAGGAAACCACTCATAATAATCTTTATGTAGCTGGAGAGTTTACCCCAGTTGTTATCTTTTGCTAGCCAAGCAAAGCTGGAATGCATCCTACAGTCCTTCCAACTTTTCTTCAATAAGACAATAAGGACTAGGTCCTCCAAGAACCTAGGACCGAGTCCACTAAGATCCACCACATATTTCAAGCTCTTTAACCAGAGGGACCGACCTCTTTTCAGTGGTGGCCTGCGAAAGGACTAAAGGAAACGTCCACAAGCTGAGGCACCAAAAGTTCCACAGGAACTTAAAGAAAAATTTCTTAACAGTGAGGGTACAGAGCCCTGGTACAGGCTGCCCAGGGAGGTTGTGGAGTCTCCTTCTCTGAAGGTCTTCCAAACCCACTTGGATGCAGCCCTATGCCCCGTGCTCTGGGTGTCCCTGTTGGAGCAGGGGGTTGGACTAGACGATCTTTAGAGGCCCCTTCCAACCTTAAAGATTCTATGATTCTATGATTAGGTGCTTGCAAGGTAGTGAAATCTTCATGGCAGGCCAACTGCTATGCTGGCAGTAGGGCCTTCATGATTTTCCAGTATTTCAGCTTTTAGTACCCTGGCATTAACTACTGCAARAGTTTTCTGCAAGTTTTTGGTTCCTAAAGAATTGAACCAAAGTGRATGAATGTGAGGACTAACTCCTTTATTCTAACTTCTTAAGGTTTAAAAATTGAAACATGCCACAATTTCTTCTTGTCCCCAATAGTGAACATTGGCAGACAAGGGTGGCAGAATGGGAACTTCAGGTGGATTATTAATCACTTCTGGCTCATGAATTCCCTCAGCACTACCATACAGTTAACAGTGAAAGTGTTCTGGGGAATTCCTACGTATTTGCTCTAGTCTCACATTCTTCCTTACAGCAGCTGTTATCTATGAAAGTTATCKATGAAATGATTTTGAAGAGCAATAGCTCTGAGAAATTTCCTCAGAGTATAACTGCAGAAGAGAAGAGCCTACACAACACTCCTCAAACCTTCCTTAAGGAAGGGAGCACCAGAGCAGCCCATCAACAGGAGGCATCTATGTCAGGGAAGACACAGATCTCAAATTTAGAAGATTTGGCCTCGGCCRTTATCTACCTCTAGCATCTCTGTACGAACACATGGCTAAAACTTGGTTTAAAAGGATGACCTAAAATAAAAATCAGTCAACCATTAAGCATCATAAATGTAACTTCCAACCACTAGCTATTAGATATTTAACAATGACCTATTGATGTAATTAACAACTATCATCCCTATTATCATGATTTATTAGTATTAAACTTTATGAATGATTTATTATGTTCATCTAACAAAAGATTCACTTGTCTGTACTAAAAGGTACTGTAACTAAAAGGTACTATRAAGTACCTTTACTTCTGTTTCGTAAGAACTGGGGAGAAGAGAGGTTCAGGGCAGGGAGGAACCTAACACCCAAAAAAAAAATACAGTAGTTCAAACTGAACACTTGACTCAACTAAGTTGTTATATAGCTCTTTAGGGAATGCACACGATCTTGTGCAGACTGGACCAGCCAAACAAGAAGATACATTAAAGGACAGAGGCTGAAATTACTCGTCCATTTCTAGCAGAGAAAGAACAACTGTTTAATCTGTTTTGCCTTCAGCCCTCTAGTTAACTGAAACATGCATCATTATTACAAGTTAAGGCTTATTCTGCCTTTCCTTTTACCATTACCTTCGCCATTTTACAGCAATATCAAACATATCTCTCCACTGCATCAACCTGGTTTTCCCATTCATCCGGACTTTGGAGTTTGCCCAAGTCCGCTGCACAGCCTGCATCACTTCTAACGTGGCCAATCCCATTGCTGAAAGGGAAGGCAGAAACTCAGGTTAAAAAAGCAAAAAACAAACTAAACAAAAAAAAACCACTCATTTTTGTACAGACAGGAGAACTATAGCAAGGAGTAAAGTATTACAAGAAAAGAACCTCGAAGTCCCAATAAAAGCTTCTAGCCCTATATTAGATCAGGAAATTGATGATAAGTGGTTTAAAATTTTATTTGAAGTTTTTTTGAAATGTATAGAGCATAAGACTGATTTGTAGATCCCAAGGGCATGGCATTCAATTATGACATATAGAACTCTCTCTTCACAGAATCACAGAATGTTTTCAATATACCTCTATGTATTCTTTTATTTGGAAGAAATCCTGGTGTCTCATACTGCATCATGGAACCCAGATGATCAGCTACACATATGAGGTCTTGCACTTCTGGCTTATAGTTTTCAAAATTCTGAAATAACACATCTCTTTCCGAGAGGAAAAAAGAACCATATCAGACATTAATACTTTCAGGAACTATGCTGAGAAGTAAGACAAAGGATTTGCATGCATTGTAATCAATACTGTTGGTATGGGGAGTACTCAAAACAGTAAAAAAAATCATTCAATCTCCCTCTCACCCCACTAACCACACAAAACCATACTTCAGATCAAAAATTGGTCATACTGAATTCAACAGCAAATTGCACTACTGTGAAAAGAAAGAGCATTTCATCTTTAGACTTCAACATTAATTAACAGTAAATAAAGTAGAAGCCTCATACTGTAACTTTTTTCAACTTTGTAAATGTTTCATGAGCTACAAGACGATGTTTTTACATCCCCCCCCAAACCTGTGCTTACATTTTTAACTCATTTTATACAAACCAAGTCACTGCACCCAAATAAATCTGGAAATCAGTTTACAGCAGGAGAAATGAATGCAGTATTTTCTTTTTAGTCACACTAAAAAGAGGATACTGAGGATATTTAAGAAAAACAAAAAACACTCACTTTATATGTGGCTGTAATCCTGGCTGTTCTTCGTAATTTTCTATAAGAAAAGGAAGATTTTTGGCCCAGTGGTCCTTAAAATTTCCAGGCAGATCGGTATCAATATTGTACTCTGTAAGAGGGGTATCCAGATGTGCGTGCAAGTATCTAGAATACTCTGGAGAAAAGATATGTAATAAAATTAAACATCATTTGCATAATCAGCTAGCTATGCAATTAAACAAAACCAAAAAAACAGTATGCATATTTGTTAGTTATTTAACAGTAATACTTTACTAAAGAAATAACAAAATTAGATGATTTTGTATTATTTCATTTCCAAGGCAGAAATAAGTCTTCAAGCACTCTTTAATGCTACACAGAAATCTCTATTTGGTGACCCATTTTTTAATAACATTAAGAAACAAAAATCATGTGCATTTTTAAACAGACATACTCAACAGTGCTCAGTGGTAGGATGGTTTATTTAAAATAGCCTCTAACTATGAACACGATGCTTACATTTACAGGGCTCTCTGGGGATTTCAACTTACCTCGGAGGTATTTAACTTTCAGATATTCTGGACTGGCCTTCTGGCCTGGTAATGGGTCATTTAACATAACTTTAGTTTGAGCTTTTATGCCTTCATAAAACTGTCCCATTGCAACATGGCTGAGGCCTTTCATATACTGGCACACTTCGTTGTACGGTTCTAGCTGTAGACATCTCTAGGAGATCAAAGAAGCAAAGCACTAATAAATCCAGAGAGACAACAAGTTTCTTCAAACAAAAAGAATCTGCACCAAACAAGGGACTTACTGATTTCTAAACTCCACTTTCCATCACTATTTTCTTTCAAAGGTGGTAAAGCTGAAAATATTTTTCTCACCTTTGCTAGCAGTTTCACTAAAGAAAGAAATGGGCATATGCTCTTGACCACACTTAATAACTGTGAAAATAAATCACATTTACTTCAGTGATATCACTTACCACAGAAGTTTCACTAGTTTAAGGAAACGAGGTAGGACATACTACAGATGACATTAATAAATGGTCATTTTTCAAGTTCAGTGTACATACTGTGCCATTTCTTCCACCAGCATCTTGGTCAGTTCATGCATAAGTACAAGTTACCATGCTACAGTCTGCTATTTATTATATGGCAATTACTAACCAAATTCATACTATCCTTTAAAAGTAACAATCTGATTCTTCTCCTAACAGTTACATCTTCTCAAACACATCAGTATCTATAAATTGTGCTACGTATGTGGAGCATGTAGCAATAACTGACAATAACTGCAGGATAAACAAACTCTCATTCAGAAAGAGCTGCAACTGTTCCCATGTCTCATTTCATTGCTTTCTATGAGTATATGAACATATGATTAGACTATGTGCCTTTATTGCTCTGTTTGAAAGAAATAGCTGTATTATTTAATATCAATGGAAAGGGGTGAGATTTTGTTTACTGACAGATATATACCAATTTTACAAGATCAAGAAATGACTAAAAACTGTGAGATTCTTTACAGCGGGGGAAAAAAAAAGGATAAATATCGGAACTTTGCATGTTTACTTTAGCATTAAAAACTACAAGAAAAAATGAAATACTTTCCCAGATATTGAAAATCCAACCCAAAGTATCAGCAAGAATGCAATTAGTAATTTCAAAAACAAACAAACAAACCACAAAGCCTTTCAACCACAGCTTGGTTTTAGAAATTAATGAAGGAGGAAATGTCTTTGTTCTAGTCAAATTTGATTTTCAGTTAAAAACTTTCAGGTCATATACATCATACATGTATACAGAAAATCTGAATTTTAATTCAAATGCCTATTTGCATTCAACTTCAGACTGAAAAAGTCCTGCTATTTAATTTTAGTGCATCAGTTGTTATTAGTTGTACTTAAAACWTTCACAATATGAGTTTTAGGACCTTACACTGCTTACCTTAAAATTCTTCAATGCTTCATCTAAGCTACCATGATGATAAAGCATCATTCCTTTGAGCTGTAGTGTCTGAACATGATTTTGATTTAGCAGCAGAGCCTTCTGGAAGCTCTCTGTCGCAGCATCAAAGTTGCCAAGCTCTCTGGGCAATTACAGAAAGTGTAAAGTGATGTATATAAGAAGTAACAGTAAAAACAAAATTATTCATTAAAAGTGATTTTAACGAGTCCACAAGAGATATCACTAAAAGAAACATGGTACTAAGTAAAAATTTCTTTAACTAAAACAGCCATTCTTGTAGTAAAAATGGTAATAAAAACGCAGATACCCAGAGCTTGTCTTTTACACAAAGATGTGCTCTGATAGTCAATCCCACAAAACTATAAATGTTCATAATTCTGAGTAGACATTAACCATAAAAAACAAGCTGTACCTATGGTATTGCAAGAATCAAAACACTGACACAAGGTGTTATCGGAAGACTATCTACAATAAGTCTTCCAAGCTTCCAAAAGAAACACTTTTATATTTACACTACTCAGATGAGGTTGTGTTTTCTTCATCTTCTATATTGCTTTTTAAAATCCTAGATCATTTAAATTCTTTCCACACCAAAATAAATGAAATTATCCCAAACAACAACGCTAAAAAACAACAAAAAACAACACAAAAATAAAATTTAAGATAAGTACATTTGCAATAAAAAAAGTTTAGATAGGACACTAACCACAGCTCTTTAATTCCAAATATATGTTCAAACACAAATGTTGCTAGACTTGAAGCAGAATTTAATAGGTAAAACACGATAATTCATGGTGTAGAGATCAAATCAGAGGATCCGAGTTGTCTACTTCTACTATAAAAGTATCCTTAAAAGACCTTTTTAAGCATATTTTAAATTATGCTTATTTTTAAAATTAGGCATATTTAAAGAAAGAAAATATTGCCAGAGAAAGAAGAGTTCATATCTTAATAAAATCCAGAATTTCACAAAAAACATGATAACCAAAATTAGCTGAGTCCTGGAGAAATCATGTTTTATTTCTACATCTGTTGCAACACCCGAGTACCTGAAGGGAAATAATTCAGATTTTTTCATATATGGTCTCTAATTGTGGTCTTCTCATTTGCTAAACACTATTTCACATAGCTTCTGGTGTTGTCCCAGAGATCCCTCATCTACCTGGTGAGAATTTACACAAGTCAACAGTAGTTTTGGTTTGGACATTAAGTATTAAAAAAAATCCAGTTAAGACCAACTCTAAGGTCCTCCTTATAAACTACAGGATTGTAGTCAGGGCTGACAGAGACTCTCCAGGTCCCTCAGACACCTTATGAATTTCCATTCCACCAGGGAAAAATCGTCTCTTTTTGTTCTCTACAATTCCTGGACCTTCTTTCCTCCAGTATTTCTTGAAGATCAAAGAACTATTGGAGCTTTCCTTCTCAAATGAGTGCATGAGGAATATGCTGGTTAAGTGACTTCTGTATTGTGAAACAATGGTCTATCGGAAACAGAATCATTCTAAAGCTTACTTTATGCTCTTGCTATTCATAAGGCATATGTACCTTCCTCCTTAATGATTATTTGCAAGACATCTTTAAAATCTTCTTCTATTCATTCTATTAAACTGCAAATTAATTTACACTAAAAAACAAGCTGTTTAAAAGAAAACAGAAATGACTCATTACTTAAGATTACAATTTTTTAAATCTAGTTGATGTATAAAAAATGCAAATCTATTAAAGATATGTGGAATGGGAAATTATCTTAATTTTCAAAACTGTAGATCTTCTTAGTGTGAGTGTACTTAATATAGAGTCTAGCCAATCTGTGATTGTATAATAATGACACATACATCACCTAGTAAGTTATCCTTATGTTCTAGCAGTACAACTATTTCAGAAGGCAACTAATGAGTGCATTAAACTAAATATCTAGTTGCAGTTTGTATTAAATAAATCATTTTGCATATCTGAAGTAGATCTTACCTACCTGAAGGTCTTACTAACTCACCATTCACCTAATCTTTCATTTAAAATTACTAGACACTGAATTAGAACTACAAAGCAAACCTGAAGACTATTCATATCGCTCACATTCTGACATAGCTACACCAGCTGTAAAAGCTACCAAATGTGTACATTCTCTATGGTTTCATATAAAAAAAAAGCATAAAACAGCCTGCTGGAAAGAATATAATCAGATTGAAAACACATTCATGAATAGTTTTTGATTCCAAAATTACCTGTATGCTTGTCCCAGACTTTTATACGCATCTACAAAGTCTGCTTTCTGCTTCAGAGCTTCTTTGAATGATTCAATGGCTTCCTATAGAAAAACATCAGTGGACAAAATACTTTATCACTACCACATCCATTTAATTGTAGCTTTTCAGTCATTACGAGCCACAAATTTACTTTTATTCATTAAACTCCTTAGAAAGTAGACAGAAAGCATCAACTTATTACAAAGGTCTAAACAATAATCATCACTATGTACATTAAGAAAAAAAAACCAATATTCTTTGCAATTTAACTAAAGCTTTATTTGGAAATCTTCTGTCTGTTTTACAGTCTATTACAGGAACAAGCAATTCTGTCAGCATTTTGATAGAATTACTTCAGATTTGCTTTTAAATTTAGTTTAGTCCTTAACTAACAGAGTCTCTCTTTAGAGTCTTCCTGTTTGATTAATAACGAGTCTTTTAATTTTTGAAGATCAGAAATCCCCTTCACATCTGTCTGCCTTTGCTCTTTTATTGAATGCTGTTAGTTACACAGAGGTCCTAACAGAACTCCAAAGGACTGAGAGTTGTTAGAAACAGACCGACATAAAAATAGCTAAAAATAGATATACGTGCATGTTCAAACAAATATTTTCCTTCTACAAGTATTTTATGGAAATCATGTTGAATGGGGGCTTTTTTCCATGTGTACATTAGTAAATATAATTTTACCTTCAGAAGACCTCTGTGAAAAAAGGTTAAGCCTTTATAAAGCATAGCTATAGGCTGATTTTTGTTCAGTTCCAAAGAGCGCTGAAAGTCTTCATGAGCTGTTGCATAATCCTAAGATTAAAAAACAAAACAAAAAGAAATAGATTTTAGATGACTGAGGAAACATCACACTTGTATCTTGATAAAAATTAACTACAGGGTTTTGTTTAGTGTGTGAAGTCAGTATCAGGGGCAAGCAGCAGCGATTGTCAACTGCTACACAGAAGAGCAAACAGAAAGGAATGTACCACACACTTCCAGTTTTCCTACCAGCAACTGCTGTTTAAAACAAAGCAAAAGGAAATATATTTGGAAATAGAGTGAAATCACAAAAATAAAGTGAGATATCAATTACTTACTGTATAGACAAATTTTGGAGATACAATGTAGTACAAAATAAGTAACTTTATATTAATAGCAAAACAGATTGAAAGCACTTTCTGTAGGATGTTTTTTTCCCCGGATATATCGCATTTACTGTCCTGGCTGTAACAATGCTCCTTAAATGCAGCTGTAAGGTTTTTGTTTGTTTTAAATTATCCATGTTGTATTCCTCAAACACACAAAACAATCCCAGATATATCTTCAAGTAACATACATACTTGCCCTTTGCTTCTCTGTATTAATTGGATATTCAGATGAAATGTCTAAAGGACACCTTGAACTGCAGGAAGTCAACTACAGAAGAATATATTTTGGGTTGTTTCTAAATAGAAAAGATGCTCTTGAACACAAGTAGTAACTTGTGTAGCAACTAAGAGAGGAACGAACCCCAAAACAATAAAACAAAGAACAAACAGAATCSCCCCCAATCCACTAACCTCAGATATGAAGTAAAGGGTACCTCTGTGCCTGTAGAGCCGGGCCGAGGGTTGGAGCTGAATAGCTCTGGTGAGATCAGACAAAGCTTCGTTAATTCGGCCAAGCGGGGACAAAATCTAAGAACCAAAACAAGCAGGCAGAATAGACCCAATAGAACAATAACAAGTTTTAGAAATTTGAAGATTTAAATTAGCTATAATAGAATATGAATGAGTGTATTTGATGGAACAGACTGGAAAATACAAACTTAGAATCTATTACTAAAGATGAAACATGAAAAAAAGAATTCCCCAAATATCAACGTGCTTCAACATCACCACCACCATTTGAAGAAATATATTAATTCCCATAAAAACAGAACAGTCAAAGCAATATACTCCATTTCAAGTTCTTTCAATATATTCAACCAAAACCTTAAATTCTCATAAACCATCTTAGTTCTGACAAAATAGACTTTTCCAATGGCAAACTGTCTCCTTTCCAATTAGTTGAAAACTCAACTTTTACATATTTAGACCAAGRTTAGCTACAGTATTTCCAAATCATTAAAAGCATGAAATTTTTCAATTGCAATTACACACTAGGACAATTACCATCATTACAAAGTTCTAAGGTTAATGAATATTTATGCTTTTGATACATCACATTTTTTTTTGCTTTTAATCCATCTTCTGTAATTTAATTGAGCAAAATGTGAGTTTTAAAATTAGAACTGTATCTGAAGTACAATTCAGTTGTACAGTTATAAGTTTACTGAGTTGACCCTAAATACAAATATTAGGGCTAAGTGATGTCTTGATTCATTATATTTTAGAAGAACATAATGTTGCTCTCCGTTCCATCAGAAACTAAATACTTGCAGATAACAATGCTAACCTGCTGACTATAATAGTTCCATATAATGTATGTTTTATTTTAAAATTAAATATTCCATAAATCACATGGTTTTAGAACAAATACACGTATCTTAAAAACAAGAAGGATTTTTTTTTTAAAGAAAGGGTGCTTTAATCACCAAATAAGCTGAGAAATACTCAAAAACACTACACCGTGTTCCAAAAAGACAAAGTTGCTCACCTCTGCTCGCTGCTCAAACACTTCAGGATGATCTGGTTCTAGGCTAATTACCCTGCTGAGCTCAAACAGGGCAAGTTCAGCATTTTTCATGTCCTGAAAAGAACAAACAAATTAAACAACTTCATGTATTTACAGTAATATATTCTAGAGACTGAAGTACAGCTATGTTGACTAAGTACATTGTTTTTACATTATATGCCTTCAATCTTTGCAAACAAGATTAAGACATAGCATATAAGAAATACCATTTAAAAGTGATATAAACAATAAAAAAGATACTCTGTATTATTCTCTCTGTGCTGCACCTTTCGTAACTCACTGTATTAATAGAATTGTGAATAAGTACAAGGTTACAGCTCCATAGCTACTCATGACAAAAAAGTGGCACAGACTCTCATGCATTTCCGTCTCCAGCAGTAACCGCAGCTACATACACAGTTAACTGGACTGCTGTTCAAACACCAAGGTTTTCATCAGTACTGCCTACAATCTGAGCATGCTGGGAATGGTTTGAGGCTGTCAATATCTTGCTTTATCTATAAAAATATGATTATATAGCAAGTTCTATATTGGCTTTCATTGATGTTTTTCTTCTTTTTGAAGATACAGAATTTTTACGTGAGATAACATCTTTGAAGCAGTGTTCACAGAAACCATAAAGCGAGGTTTTCTCACAGAATCACAGAGTGGTTGAGGTTGGAAGGGGCCTCTAGAGATCATCTAGTCCAACCCCCCTGCTCCAGCAGGGACACCCAGAGCACGGGGCGGCATCCAGGTGGCTTTTGAAGGCCTTCGGAAAAGGAGGCTCCACAACCTCTCTGGACAGCCTCTCAATGTACAACAGAGCTGAGAAGAAAAACTCTTGCTGATGATAACACGCAAACATGAAAAACTTCAACCTTCTGTCAGCAGTGTTGAAGAATGAAATACTCTGCACCTCAGCAATTTTTAAAGGAGTTACTCAGCTCCTCTGCCTTACAGAATTCCAGCAACCACTCAAATGATTCAGTAGGCTATAGAAATTCAAACTATATGGATCAGTCTACTTAATAACCTATTTTTTTGCTCAGGAAGTTGAGCAGTCAGTTGCTACTAATAAAAACACTCAAGTTTTTCTTTATCTTGCAGATAAAGAAAACTTATGCAAGATAAAGATGCTTTATCTTGCATCTTTATCTTTTCTTTTTCAAGTTCAACTAAGTGAAATTGTGTTAACGTGAAAAAGCTGTTTAGTCTACCCACATGTTCAGAAAAAAAACCAGGATCATGTTTCAGGGTTAAAAATCAATACGGATGTCAAATTGAGCAATTTAACCTTAAGCATTTTTGTATAAAACCAAGGAGGTATATACTATCAAGACAATTCTGGAGATGATGTAAAGCCTACTGTCAAGAGCTGGCAGTCTTTTCAAAGGGCCATAAAAGACTCCTTCACTTGCAAGGACAGACTAAGCGGGAGGCCACCCCAATGGGACTCCAGAAACCTGCTTCTTRAAGGTAAGATGTTGCTCATTACATTGCTAGATAAGCAGTGGCCTTCAAAAGGCCACTGTTTCCAGCTTACTGTCTCAAAGTATCACTATAGTAGGACAACTGGGGATGTACCTATTAAGTTCTAAACACTCTAGCTCCAAATGTCACATGCCCTCATATCAAATAATTCAGATAGTTATTTAAATTATTAACTACTCACATGTAGTCCTTTTTTCCCATATGCTATCCCACGTCCATAAATTGCACTAACCAGATCTGGTTCTTCCTGTTCAGATTAAAAACAAACACAATACTGATTATTTCCCCTAAAAAAAAAATCTGAAGTATCTTTGTGCCTTTCTTCAACATACACTTAATTCTTGCAAATATTAAACAGTAAACAACAAACATTATTGCCAAGCAAAGGTATTAAACAGATTATATTACATATAATTTCAAATTTGGTGGGATTGTTCTGCAGGATTTGTTTGAAAATGAGCTAATCTCCACCAAATTCGAGGGGAAAGAAGAGATTTCACATAAGAAATAAATACATTCACACTGCTTCTAACCATGATTTAGATCAGAAATATGTAGAAATTTATGCATACTTTTGAATTTTTCTTTTGAATGTACCTATGATCTAGTTTAAAAACACAAAAGGAAGGAAAACTAAGGACTACTCTTAGCTCTTCCTCTTCTGACTTCTGATGTTGGTGCAAGTTTCCATATATTATTTGAACATAAATAAGAGAAATTAACAGGCTAGAATTAAGAAGTTTTGATACCAAATATCCAAGATACCAAAAAGACATCTAACCAACATTTAACCAACAATGAAAATAATCCTACTGGCTTTTTTGCCTTAAAAAAAAACAACCCTTCTACATCCCATTGCTGATACTGTTTCTGAACCAGTGCCCTGTGTAGATCTACGCAGGGGAATTAAATTACAGTTATAGTATCAGGGACCAGCCACTAAAACCTACACACACATCAGCATATTCTTCCATCACAATTTCATTACTTGTAACCTCATCAGTAATGACAAGTAATGACAATGACACTGAAGTGACAATAAACGAATACAATTCTGTAAYTGAAAATCTACTTTGCACTGATTTACAGGAAGAATTGATTTAAAATAGAAAGTAGGAAATTGTGAAATCTGTATAGGTGGACTTCTACACTGAGGAAACAGCTAAAAGGAGGCATTCTGCCGAACAGTTCTGCTAAATCTGAGCAAATATTCCTTGGTTGAGATTTAAGTCCTTGTCTTTCCAATGAYACAGTTTGCAGAACTTGAGTACTTCTGTGGAAGCATCTTACACYAAGTAAAGTTACTTATTTTCCCATATACTTTTTATTTCTCCCTCCAAAYTTAAAGAGCCACAATAACAAAACTMATTTTCTTGGTACAATTCTGTATATGGAACCAGGTTTCCCTGAAAACCAGTCAGGAACTGCACATCCAACCCCTGCCACCAACACAGACATGCAACAAAGGTTTGTAGCACAGGCCACATCTTATTTAACYGGGACGATTGCCAACAAGTATTTCATTGACTGAGCAGGTAACTGGTACACCCCAAGCYGGCAGCTCGCCAGCTCTGAGTTGTGTCCAAGCATACACTTGGCAGTGCCAACTTCAACTTCCCATTTTAATACAGCAGCTACATAAACACTGTTCTGATCTCTTAACCATTTTAGTACTTTACGTGTGCTTGAAAACACTTTATGGGAGAGACAACGAACATTTATCATCACTTCACTTTCACACTTTCAGGCATCCCTTAAGCATAATAATTCATTTCTACTGAAACATGCACATTACAAATCTTTTGCTGTATTATATACAGACTTTTTAGAATTCCTTTCTACAGTTGCTATACCTTGCTTAGTCCCATTTTTATTAAGTTTTCTTCTTACTCAGGAGGAGGCAGAGAACAATTTGCTAGTGAAAAGTTTTGCTTCAAAAATTATTTATAAAATCATTTCCCCAACAGAAATATATTCAAGAGAAAGCTGTCCTGTCTTAAAAATCYGATTCAAATCTTTTCGTCTCACTGATAAACATACTAGAATAACTTCATTAAATTACCACACTTTCACTAAATTGAAGTATGAGCTATGCAACATTTGAGTTAAAAAAAAAAAAAAAAAATCACATGCCAGTATTTGGGATTACTTTGTGGCACATAAATGCATGCTATAACCAGAGTCGACTGAAAAGCTGTCTCATGCTTCTGGTAGTCACAGGTTCTTAGCCATTAAAATACCGAGCAATATAATACTTGGCACTAGCAACATGTGATGTCTGACAGTTTTCACCTTATGTTACTGGCAACAAGCCAGTATTGTAGTCAAAAAAAAAAAAAAAAAAGGCATATAAAGTTCTCAACACGAAGCTGGAATGTCAAGTTTGTGCTGGTCAGATTTCTGAAAAGTCTTTTTTTATTATTTTAAATAAACTTGCATCAAAAATTTATTCCAACAAACGAGAAAAAATACAAACCAATCAGCCAGGCTATCTGCACCACATGACTTTCAGAGTGTGCTTATGTTTGCATGCAAAGTGAACAGAAAAAAAGGAAAAAATACTCTCATTCCAAAATCCTAAATAGAATTCATTTTAATGAAAGCCATATTGCAAGAGATCATTTCATATGTTATTAAAGTTATCTTCTCTTTCAAAAATTGTAGTTAGGGATCCAAGTAGAAAACTTACCTGCAGCATTGTTGAAAAATGTCGTATGGCTTCATCATACAGGCCGTTGCCGATCAACACATAAGCAATTGCTAACAAAAGATTACAAACACAAGTGCATCAGAGGAAAACATCTGCTTTTTATATATTTTAAAACTCTGTTGTACTTAATGAAAGTCCTTACATTGCTTTGAAGCATTAAAGTCAAACACTTCTAAACTTTCACTGAAATTACTGTCTTCAGCCACTATGTAGCATTCACAAGTTATTAACTCCTATTCATGAGAATGTTTTCAGGTTTTGTATTTTTCCCCCTTTCTTCTTGAATTCTTTTTCAATTTTTGCCTTTTTTTTTTTCCTCTCCTTTCTATCTCTTGTTTGCAAGTTGTTCTGAAAAGGSTCTGTTTTAGCTCCTTAAGCAGTTAACAGTTAAGACAAAAAAAAAAAAACAAGCAAAAAAAAATCTGTTTTTCTTAAACTGCATATCCAGAAGCTTACTCATTCTTGGAACATTTCTATTAATCAGAAGGAGGTATTTTGTGTGCAATACACTCACTTCAGTATGGAGAAAGTTTACTTGCTGCAAACATGTAGCACTGTCACAAACAAAAAGACAACTGAAAGAGTCAAAGACAGGTTAAAGGGTTCTTGGACTTTTCTTCATTTTATTGCCCTTCCGTAAAAGGTAGTTTCAGCTCTTTCTTGAAATGCCTSCTTCCCATCTCTTTGTTGCCTCATTATCCTCTGCTTCCTACTGAGGGTATCAGTTTGGAGAAGCAGTGCAAGCAATGCCTTCCTCAAAGTATTTAAGAGTATCTCTCAATGCCTTTACCTGAAAGGCAACCATCTCCTCCTTGGAGTGTCCTTTCAAAAGCAAAAATAAAAATACAACAAGCAGTAGACTCCCTAAGCAATCCAGAAAGTCTTCCTGCTGCCTATAAGATTTGATGTTAAGAGTGCAAGAGGAATGCAAACAGATTCGAGATCTACGCTTGAAAGAGAGCATATTCCCTGGGCATGACTTTCTGAATCTTGATTAAGTCATTAATAACATGAGAAAAAGAAAAGGAAGTGGTTGAGATTGTTTAACAGAACGCAATCAAAATGCTTTCTGAACACTTGCATAAACAAGTATGGTTACTGAGCAAAGCAGAAAGAATTACTAAGAAATAAATACTCTCTTTAAGAAACTTGCACTATGTTTGTTGTACCACTTTTAAATCAGTGCATCACTAATCAGTATGTAAGCACCTATACAASCCTTGTATAAGGCATCTTACCGAGCTCTTCATTTGTGTTGTCATTATCAGTAGCAAATGGAAACCTTTTTTGTTCTGCAAGTGCCTTTGCTTGGCTCTGTAAAACATTATTGGTTGTAACATTGAGCATACAATAGTAAACAATTTCACTGAAAATYCTCCTCTTAAGCACTTAAAAAAAATCCTTATATTAGAAAGTTAAGACTAATGTGATTGTGCTAAACCGACTGAAAACAAATTCATTCTTAGTCTTCCCTGAGGAGAAAAGTTATTTTCAGTCAGCTGCTGCTGCTATTCTCTCTAAATATTTCAGATAAAATGCTCACAATGTTTTTTTTTTTATCAGTGGTTGCTATTTTCAGAAGTGCTTTTCATAGGTAAATGTGAGCCTACTAGAGTGGTTTATATAAAAATACACAAAATAGTCTTTTGATTAACAGGCCTGACCAATGCTTTTAAGATGCAAGAATACAGAAACAAACACTCTCTCTCACTGCTCAGTTCTCTTATTTTGCTTCAGATACATGGTATATTGGAACATCTTTAACTTTAGAGAAAACCACCCTTTCCCTCTACTGAAAAAAATCCCCACTCCTCCACTTTGTCCTTCTTCCTTCTGCTTTATTTTTTGGTGTCTTGGAGTACAMGACCCACTATCTGCATTTACAAGACAGACGTATCAATGATCCAGTCACAAAAACAACTGTTCCCATTGTACATTTTTGGCCCTATTCATCCAATAGTCTCAGAAAGTTAGGTCTCTTAACAACTATAGTTTTAAAAATTACTTTGAGAATGTGGGGAAAAAAAAAAAAAGGATCAGTAAAGAAATTGTATTTGGTATTACCCTGCAAAATAATACATATATTCTGAGTCCTGTTCCTATTGAAATTAGAGGTCTCTACCTCATAATATGTCATGAAATATGTTTTGCATTATTAGATCACCTAGTATTTAATCTACAGTAACAGATGGGAATGTTTTTTTTTTAAACCACAAGAAAAAGCAATTAACATTCTATTAAATATTTCATTTGAAAAATAAAGTACAGCCAGAAAAATCCATCATTAGCATGAAACACAGAGTTGCTGGTAACACTCGACAAGAGAAGTACAGTGACACTGTAATAAGACAGCATCAAATCCATATTCTCATGTAGACTGAAGATTATAAATATATATATATATATGTAAATGTTCAAGATCGGTAGTATTGTTTCCAGAAAACCCAAATACTGTAATAAACCTCTTGAAGTTCCTTTACCAAGAAACAACTTTCTTTCACTAGGATATCCTCCACATACTGTATTTTATTAAATATAATATGGATATAAAATTTTTACTACCTGTGCACAATGTTATTCCTGTAGTGACTGCAAGTTAACACCGCTACTCTCAYAAATATTTTGTGGTGGCTGAATGATTAATCTCTGTAAGAACTAACTTACCTTTGYCCTCCTCCACCCTAGCCCCTGTCTTCCCATTCCATATTAATTGGAATCTGGCTAATCCAGGTACAAGTCAGGCTTTGGTAGAAACATGAGCTTTATTTAAACTGATGACAGCCCTAGAGATTCATGCTGTAGTACCATGAAATCATTCCTTCACAAGCTACTTCAGCTCACTRGCACTTAAGCCTTTCATCAGTCTATGGCTACTGATGAATAGATTCTATTTGCAGTTACACGCTTGTAACTAATTCCAACTGGTGATGCAGCTAAAGTGATCCGTCACTAGCAATGATCTATTTTTTCATAGATTACGTTCTTTATAGCATACCAGAATTTTTTCAGTGTTGAGAGAAAGCACAGATTCACAGGAAGACCCTCTTATGTCGCAATCGGATTCATGGAAATGCAAAAAGGATGAGTCTGGGGAAGCAAGAAAAGTTTTGGTTAGACATGTTCCCATTTGACACTATGTTTCTCTACAATGACCCAAAAAACTTAGGACAAAATTGCCATTCAAATCCCACAGAAAAGAATGGAAGGGAACACATAGAACAGAGAAAAAGCTGTTGACAGAAGTTCAGGGAACAGAAGCATAAAGACAATAAAAGGTAGAAGGAATGGTAAACCATAATTGGCTAAACCTGTACAAAGGTCCTCACAGATATATTACTAAGAAGACTATTACAGAGACTCTAAATAAAATCCAGTAATTAGACACAATAGAGAAAAGCATTGTTAAGGAATTCCCTTGCCCAGATTCCTTGATGTCACTAACCCCCTCTCTCACTAACTACYGCAAAAGGCAGCAAGAAAAAACAAAGAGTATCATCTCATGAATTCCACACCACAAATAGATACTTACAAAACATTAGTGGAAGCGATAAATTTCAAGCTCGAGAATAAGTTTGACAGGTTGGAGGGACGCATCTAATCTGCTTTTATAGGCTGTGCTATTTTCTATTTTGATTACATAAAAAATTGCAGTCAGTTAACCGCTCATTTCTCACAAGTACGAGGTTAGAAGTGAAAAAGAAACAGCTTTCTTATGAAGGCAAAATAGCAACTAAAATCATTCCCTGTCAACAGAAACATGGAACTCAAACTACAAATGATAACTTTTGGAAGAAGTTTTACAACAGAACTAACATTAGTGAAAAGGAGAAGGTCAAAGTTTACAGTCAGAAAGTCCTGCAAGAACAGTGGCTCACAACCTGTTTCAACACTGCCCTTTAATCTTCATGTTGGCCAAAGTTTTACCCTCTCGTGCCATGGCAGCAGCATTAACAGAACATTAGTTGTTCTACATGGGGGCTCTTAAGACAGTGTCAGTTTGAAACTGCTGTCTCACTGCGCAATTTTGACTTCAGGAACAGAAAGGAGAAGGTGCAGGCACAGACAATCCCCTGGAGCATGAGYATATCCAGCACAACAGCAAGAATTTACTGAGGGAGCTTCTGAATGGGTGACCAAGAAGTGTTACAAACAACTAGGTGAAGGATGCGGGGTAAAAATATGTGTGTGTGAGCGTGTGTATCCTTGTTCAACCCTTGAGATTCTCCAGGCAACAAAGCTGCTTTACTTACAGGGAAGAATGGATTAGCCCATGTCTGCAGGTTAGGTACAGTCAAATTTGTGCCACACTGCCTCACTAGCAACCTCATAAAAAAGTAAAAACGGTAACCAGAGAAACGACCCTGGACCTGCACTAGAGAGAGAGAAACTATTTGAAACAACCGATTCTCAACTTCTGGGAAGGCAGATCTAAAAGGCTGGGAATTTTTCAACTGACAGTTCATTGAATCACAGGAATTAAATAATAAAGAGTAAACTGGTATACAGCTATTTTAAAGTAATTAAGGACTACCTTATATTACTCTATCCAAGATGAAGTGGGCCCTCGTGATGTAAACACCATAGCTCATATCAATCCTAATTACCCCCTTTAAAACAGCCTTCAACCTGTGTGGTCTTGTTTTATCAACAAAACAAAAACCCAACCTTRCCAACACACCCCTCCAAAGGAATATCCTGAGCAGATCATTTAAGCCTTGGCAAGGGAAGAAATCAAGGGCTCTGCTATTCATTAACTTGTGCATGATACAGGTTTTATCTCAAGACTAGGTGAAAGTCTCCTTGGTTTTATACACGAGCTTAAACGATCTGGAGCAGAGGTCTGCTGAGAGCTTTCCAGATTTGTTTCGACGCCAGTGTATTACGGCTACAGACATTCAGCCACGTAAAAAACGCACTTTTAACTGGATTTATACTTGACCGCACCCGAAGGTGCCGGGTCGGGCGGGCTGCGCAGGCTGTGCTAGTGCCGGCGGCGGCGCTTCCCCCTCACCGCCCTGCCCGCCGCCCGGGCGGTTCCCCGCAGCCGTTGGCGTAACGGCCGCGCCGGTGGGGCCGCGATGGCGCCGCCCGCCACTCACCGCACTCGGCCGAGTACTGCTCTGCCCACTCTCCCGGCGAGGCGCAGCCGCCCTGCGGGCCGCGCCGCCGCAGCAGGGACAGCCCCGGGTACTGCTGCTCCGTGAGGGCCCGCGCCGCCCGCGCCGCCGCCGCCAGCAGCAGCAGCGCCCGCAGCAGCCGCGCAGCGCGGCGCCCCGCGGCAGGTGCCATCTTCCAGGGCGCATGCGCACCGCGCACGCCGGGCGGCCCCGCCGGGGAGCTGGGCGGGCGCCGCCGCGCTGCAAGCTGGGACATGGAGTTCGGCGCCGGCGCCGCCCCGCGAGTGGAGGGCCGCGGGAAACCGCAGCCCCCAGGATCCACCGCGCGCGGCGCGGAGGCGAAGCCAGCCGAGGCGCCGCGCGGCCGGGACATGGCTGCGCCCGGCGCGTACCGGTGCATCGAGTGCCACGGGGAGGCCACGGAGCTGTACAGGGACTACCAGCGCGGCGTGCTACGCATCTCCATCTGCGTGAGTCCCGCACGGGCGGCCTAGGACGCAGCGGCGGCGGGAGGCCCCCGCGCCCCGCCTCGCAGGGCACGTGTGGCGCATGCGCGCACCTGCCCGCCCGGGGGGGGGGGGGCTGCCCCTGCCCCCGCCCCCGCGCGCCCGTCCGTTAAACGGTCGCCGTAGAAAAGCGCTCAGTGTTTTAAGCTCTTAGCGTCTACAGGGTGTTTCTAGCTTAATTGTTTCTGATATTTTAGTTACGCCCAGATAGCGTTTATACAGAGTTGTCTCCAGTGGTTAGTTTTGGTGGATTTCCTGTAGTGTGTGAAAAAAGTATATCACTTAGCACCCTATATTTAACTGTGAAAAGAGATGAATTTGGGACTGTGGAATTTGCAAATCTGACTTGACTGAACCTTTTATTTAATCTGTGACAGTGTTTCATAACATCCTTTATTTGTCTCCCACTTAGAAAAAACAATCTTTTTATCTGAACCAACTGTAGAATATATTAAAGCAATACATGACAGTAATGAGTTGTGTGGCATTCAAACTTTCTTCATCGCTCTCCTTTACTTTCCCATAAATACATTGCCCTTGGCATTTTGAGCATGCTGCAAGTAGATGGGTTAATTTACTGATTGTGAAGCTGTGACCGTGGCCAGAAAGATGTGCGATGCATTCCTCTACAGCTGTGTAAATTTTTTGACTCATTGAAGCATTTCTCAAATTAAAAATGGAGATTATAAATGGCTAGTCCATATGTGTTTATAGTTTGGGAAGACAGCAATTAGCTTAAGGTGAAATATCKACTTAAATCTCAACTTCTGCTATCAATAAGAAACGTGGAAACAACATATACACAAATTATTGATGAAATTGGAAACAGATGATTCACATCCTCTTGTCTCTGTCCAGCTGTCAATTAAAAAGTCTCATTGCTACCTTTCAAGAACTGGAGAAGTCAGCAGTTTTTCAGAGTAAAGAAAAACAGCAGTGTGATAGGCATTGATTTCTGCTGCCTTTAGGCATGCACACTGCAAGGAAAAATTTATCTATTTATCTATTTATCTATTTATCTATTTATCTATTTATCTATTTATCTATTTATCTATTTATTTATTTATTTATTTATTTATAATACATCATCTCTAGTAGTAGATATGGCTTGCATCAAACCAGTAGTTAGAGATGCTAGTAAAAGCTGTTGTCATTGATTTATAACAGGAATGTAAATTTACTCTGGATGTGTTCAGCTTACTGTGGGGCTTCACATTTGCCTTGAAATCAAGGAGAAGTTAAGTGCAAAGGAACAAGTGTAAAGTGTAGCTATTTCACATAAAACTGAGCATATTTCACAACCTCAAGTTATCAATTATGGATATCAATTACTTGGCTTTGATAATATCTGAGGAAAACTGGGATCCAGCAGATGGCACTCATTCCTCTTAGAATTTAACTATTTGATGACTTAATCCTTTGGAGGTTTGATGTTCCATGTAAAATAAAAGACATAAGTGCCAGGCACTGTGTTCATCATATATCCCAAATTACATTCTTTTTAACAGTAAAGAAGTGAGTAAAAGAAAAAAATAAAGAATAGCATTGTCCTTGCAAATTTGGATTTTATCTACATTCATATAGCCTTAAATCTATACTGTTCTTCCCTTATTCCTGTCGGTCATGGATCACCGTGATTGAGTTTCAGTCTTAGTCCTGTGTGCTCTTACATGGTGTCTTGTCGCACTGTCTCAAACTCATTCTCAGGAAAGACTGAGAGGAAGAGCAGCCCATATGATGAACAGGTAGTAAGAAACATGTTAGCTCAGTTTATAAAGTGGAGGTCAGAATGTTAGAAAAATCACTAAGGTCAAAAGATTTCTTGATGTGTAATGATCCAAAGTTATCGCTATATGCTTATTATGGGAAAACACTGAGATCTAAGAAGACTCAGGAATTTATCATGAATTGATTTTTCTAATAGAGCCTTTTTTACTTTTCTTTTTCCTCTTTTTCTGAAAGAAGAGTCTTGTTGCTCTGGGTTAATGCATTCTGCTCCAGTAAAGCAATACTGTACTCCTTGCCTGAGACCTGAAAAGTCAGTCAGCATCACACCATCAACAACAAAAATAGTCAAGTACAGCWTGGCACTTGGCACTGACTTTCAAAAGCAGTCTCATAATAGGACTGTCACTATTACAAGTGTGAGTGACCTTAACCTGAAAAAAAATAGGAATAATAGGAAGTTTTCCCCAGTTGAGAAAATTACCCTATTTTTTTCTTCAAGTTTACAGAGTTGACCAGCACTGCAGATAGCTGAATCGTCTCGAGTAGCAGTGAATTCATTCTTGATTCATGCCTGCTGAGGAACTTACCTCCTCAGTGAGATCTGCTGACTTGTGTTAGCTGCAGGGTGTTAATTTTGGAGGAGGTGAGTTTGAATGGCCTTGGATGAAGGTGACTCATGGTGGWCAGCCTGGGCCTCATAGGTCTGGCTCTACTCCTACACTGAAAACGTGCTGACATTTTCCCTCTTCTGAACCAGATGTGATGGTGAGAGTAAGCATAGGTGGCTCTTTATGGCAGTGGTTCTGAAGTTATTTTGATATCCTCAAAACTTAAATGATGTATAAGYGATATAATGAAGCCTTACTAAATAAGGTATGAACCAGCCCTTGACAAGAGTAACCAAAAATACTGTTCAGGTAACAGCATTTATCTTACTAGTGATGTAGGAACAAAGCACATTGAGCAAACCTGGAATAAATTCTATAGTCAAAGTATACAGAATATAAAAGGAAATTAGCAAGTATGACTTATTTCAAAATCGAAGGAAAAATATTTACATTTTTATATTTTGTTGTTTAAAAGAACATTTAAAAATGGTTACTAATCCCAGGCCCTAACCAAGGCAAAAAAAGAAAAAAAAAAAATCCACTGTAGTATGTAGAGCGCAGCTAGGGTTCCCCTTGTGCTTTGTAATAAGAAAGCTAAATTGCCTGAGCAGGGCACACTTCATTTAGCTTTTCTGCTATTAAAAAATAATTGAAAAGCCCCTTTCTGGCAGGAAGTGGGAGAGAAAATAAATGGCACGATTGCAATGCATTTATGTGATAAGGTAAAGAGTCTGTCCAGAGTACAAAGATCATCTCGAAAAATGAAATATGATTTTTTTCATTCTTCTTTACGTAACTCAATTTGCAGACAACTGACTAGTGTAAAACGTTTGATTTAGGAAAAATAATGAAACAACCTTTTGTAATTTTTTTTTAATTGGAATCCATATCAAACCRAGCTGTAGTGTTTTCCAGCTTATTTTGACACTTAGCTGCATCCCTAATAAAGAAACCATTTCTGAAAKCAGCACAGCTAATTACATTTTATTGCTTAAGGGTGCAATTGGGATTAAGGCTCTTCTCTCAGTATAATGGGTCCATAGTAGTTTGCCTTCATCTGAGCATCCTTCATTTCCCTTCCCAGCACTGCTGAACCTCTGCAAATGCTATGTGTGGCTGAATGTGTAGACCAGAAAAAAAAAATGCAGTTTTAATTTGCCAAACTCCCTTCCCTGGAAATGGGGCTACCAAAATGAGGCTACTTCACTTGTAGTTTTGATATCCAGAGATTTGCAAATTTATTGCTGCACTGTTGTAGTTTTCGTGCTGTCTTTGGGTAGGGATGGAGTTTTATTTTSCTTGGTGTGCTGGCTATGGTTGCCTCTTCCAGAAGTTCCCCACACACACCTAATAGTCCTACTTCAAAAATCAGTTATGCTTTAATGTTGGTGAGCACACTTAATAAATTATGTAAATTTCACTGATTAAAAAATACTGCCGAATGTAGGTAGTTTTGTGTGCTGGACTGTGTTCATAGCTCAGTGCCTTTCATAAGCAGAGAAGAAATGTATCTTTTGAGTGCTGTTTTGCCAGAGGCCGGTAAATGTGCAGTTAAAGTCAACATTCCAGTACTTCTTTTGCCTTATTTAACAAAACTGCTGTTAAAAGATGCTACTTTCCTTAAATAATTGTTTTGGATTTCTTGGAACAGAAAGAATCCTCTATGCTGAGCTATGAAGAACATCTTTCTGTTAGTTTTTTAAGATTTCTGGTTCTCCTTATTTTATCTCCCAGGTTGCTGAAAACTCTAACATTAGCTCAGKCCCTGCTAGAGGAGCGCTAGGGGCTTTTGCTTTGTACAGTTTGTAGCTTGTAACCAGTTTTCTTGGTTAGTGTTTTAGCTGGGACCTCCTTAATTTTAAAAGATTATTCCATACGTCTCTCAGAAAGATAGTTTGTCATCTTTTTATTTATTTATCTTTTCAAGCAAACATTTAGAAATGTCTGCTCTAAGCCCTGGGGTGTCTAAGATATCTTTTTTGTAACCTTTTCACCAGCCTTTCTGTTCAAGAATAATCTTTTGTTTGTGTTTTTTTTCCAATGTGTGTGGGAATCAGCTTATAAACAATTTGAGTTTTCTTGTCCTACATCAGCACAGCTTTGACGCATTTAAATTATCACTATTAAGAATGTTTTCCATGATTTTCCCATAGAAAGAAATGAAGCAAGACATTGCCTTTAATTATAGCTGCAGTCTCTTCTGTGGTAGATTTTTCGCTCTATTAAACATTGTAGCCATGATCTTCAATTAATTTTATCCTTTTTTCCATCTCTCTGACTTTAATCTTAGACCTACCAAACTTTTGGTTAATTGAGTCGGACTCTGTATTTATTACTCTGGCTCTGTTGTGTTCTGTCATCGTAGTACTTTGTTTTTGTGATCCAAGTGAGTTGTGACTTTGCTTTTCCTGAACTGGAGCAAGAGGCACTGACTGGTGGTAGCCACATCCTCTCTAGATTTTACCCAACTAATATTACGGTACATTTATTCTTGTGGTGAGTTTTTGCATTCTCAAATTCTCCCATAGTAATCTCAAGGCGACTTTTAACTTGGACCACAAGGAATCTCCATCAAATTGCAGAATCCTTTAGTTTTTTCCTGAGTTTTAGTTGCACCTGTGCTTTGTCTGCTGTTGCTTGGCTTGCGCTGTGCCGGGTGGAGCACTGCAGAAAGCAACTGGGCAGAGTTTTCTGTCCTGAAACTCCTGGAAATGGAAACACMAGTAGTTGCTATGGCTTGTGTGCRCTAAGCATGGAAGGTAGCATGAAARCAAGGGAGGTGGGAGTAGCTCAGGGCAGGTCAGAGGGAAGAAGTTTGCAGCTGAGGTTCGGTAGCAGGAGAAAGGTGACCTGCAGGCATGAGGCCTCCTGCAAGGGCACTTGGGTGAGGTGAAGTGGTGCGTGGGGCCACCTGCCCCTGCTTCTCTACCAAAGAAGGTCTCTCATAGAAGTTATTTCCACTTCTAGTCTATTGTTTGAGGTTTTTTAAGGCTGTTATTTAAACCTTCTCTTCACTAAAACAGTTAAAATAATAGCTGTTTTAAGCCCTTCTCATTTGACTGAAGGAGTGCCCAACATGTGGTTAGGTGAATAAATCTGAAGGGGAGGTGAGAAGCTATTCCCAATGGCCTGGGGGCAATAACCTCTCTAGTTGGCACAGCCAGAAGCAGCAGATGAATTCGAGAAGTAGTTCCCTAATGACCTACCACCCCTTGAGCTACAGCTCTAGCAYGAATGCTATATTTTCAATATTCTAATTATATGTTGGGAGTGGGGTGGGTATTTAATAATTGAAAKTGAAGAGAAATGTCACATCTGGGCTAGTAATGGGCATACAAGGACAACGCAACAGGAAAAAATACTTAACTTTTCCCCAAAAGAGGAAAACATGGGATATATAAGGCATCTCTTGTGAAAGAAGGGTATACATAATGGAAATCCATTTTTCTTTCAAAAAAAACCCCAGTGCTGTATAGACATACATGATCAAGAAGAGTTAACCTTCAACAATCTTTCAGTGCAGTTCTTGAGCATTTGGAAATGTTTTCTGGTTTTTTGTTTTTTTTTTTTGTCTCTAAGGCCCAAAATAATCACTACGTACATCCTTGCATAGTTCATATTTTTCTGTGTCAATTTGAAGTCTACAAAAATCAGTAATATGTCTTCCTGGTTCATAGGGGAAATCCTTGTGTAAATGGCAGTGTCAAGGGGAAAGTGAGCAATTTTTCTGACTGGTTTAAAAATGTATCAAAAATAAAGATTGCTTTGGGGAAAGACTAATGTGAATTGAATGCCTAATTAGAATTATGGAGTTATACTAAACTCAGAGGAACGTTTCCTCTGCTTATGCTTCTTTCCTTATGCTTCCTTCTTTCTTCTTTTTTAATTCTTCTAATTTTTGGCTTTCAGAAATCCTGCCAGAAGCCCGTGGATAAATACGTTGAGTATGATCCTGTTATCATCTTGATTAATGCTATTTTATGTAAAGCGCAAGCATACAGACACATTCTTTTCAATACAAAGATAAATGTAAGTTGCTGTGCTCCTACCCCATGACTTTTTAGTTAAAGAAGATACCCTTAGGCTTGATGATAAGCCAATCAGAGTAATTACAAAATTTAGGTGCTTTTCTTTTTCTGTCCTTCCACAGGCCCCAGCAAGCCATACTACAGTTTTATTGGGGATCAAACTTACTGGAAGAGAAGGGTCTAATTTCAAATTCATTTCCACCTCAAATTTCTGCCAGAAGTAATTACATTTTGAAATGAACTGTAGTAGCATAATGTGCCATGCAAACAATGCTGTACTAATTAAACCTACTCTACGACTTTCTGATGAATTTCCTCGTGAGAAATTAACCACGTCCCCAAAACTACAGCAAGAGATGGTGACTTCCACAGGAATCCCCACTGATGCTCAGACACGTGGGCGGGCAGGTTGCCCCTGGCTGGCACAAGGGCCAGGGTAGCTGTTCTGGCACTGCTGCTCATTTTGCTTCCACAGTTTATTTCCCAGGAGAGGGAAGCTGATCTGCAGTAAATTACCCAGGCATGAGTGTGCGCTGCCTCCCTGTGCTTAATCTCTTCACCAGTCCAATGTGAACGGGGTAGATGGAGAGATCTACGTTGCTTGCAGGGACAGACCTGACTAAGTCACCCTGATGAATACTTTGGCTTGAATCCTATAGTTGCATGTTTTTCAGGCATAGATCTGGCTAAAGATTTTTAATGAATTTAATGCTACTGGAGACCGGTAATGATGCTCCCCGTGAGGCCTTTGGAAGAACAGGTCCATCTGGGGAAACTTCACCTATTTGAATAAATGAACTTGATGTTTAAATTTAGCTTAGCTTGTGCATGTGTACTTGTCCCTGCAAGTGAAAGCTACGTAACGAGGCACCAACAGAAAAAAAAAACACCTAGAAAGAGGCCACTTTCATTGGCTTATAAATTATGTTTAATATGGAAGTGTGTGAAACATGGATGCTTTAACTTTTGCTTGGTTGCACAGCTGTCTACTTTTGTCTCCTCTCCCTTCTCTGAAGTAAGGAATGTTTTTAGTATAACTAAACTACCAATTTCTTCTAAAGGAAAAACATTTTTTCTTGGAGAAAAACAAAACCCATGCAACTTAAAACATTATACTAAATCTTTTGGTGGCATAGTTCTGTTTGCTAGGGTGTGATTTTGTTTTTATATTCCTAACTGAAACAGCCATCTGGATTTTAAAAAGTGTAGAGAAGACCTTGCAAACTACAATTATCTATTGTTTTCAATACAAAACTGTTCATGCAGTTTTAACACCCCCTAATTTGCCTATCATGTAAATGAACCAATTGATGCTAAAAGGGACGTGATGAATTAGTAGCTCAACAAAAGTAATTTGCTCTACATTTCTAAACATACCTAAAATGATAAGAAGAACTTGTTTCTGAAGAGATGTCAAGAGGTATTGTAAATATTTGATACTAACGTGTTTATTTTCCTTTCTTTTACCAGATTCACGGAAAGCTCTGCATATTTTGTTTGCTCTGTGAAGCTTACCTTAGGTGGCTCCAACTACAGGATTCAAGCCAAAATATAGATCCTGATGACTTAATCAGATATGCCAAGGAATGGGATTTTTACAGAATGTTTGGCATAGCTTCTTTAGGTAAGAACTATGATTATTTCATATAAATATCAAGGGTACTCTTTAAGCTTTTTGTAACTGCATGAGCCTTTCAAAAGCCTGGTATTGCAAAAATTATTAATATAGAATGGTTGTCCTGCTCAACCCAGCATGGTTTAATGACTTTTTTTTTGACATACCCTGTCACTTCCCTTCATTAAAGCAGATTTATATTTAAATCACCTCACTGCAGTTTAGACTGATATGATCAACATTAGATACCAAATCACCAGAAGATGGCAATATTCAGAAATCTTAGTCTGAATGCATTTACATAAAGTACATTGGCTTAAAGACCAGCGTAGACCTCTGCCCTATTCCAAAGACTAAAGCTCTACATATTGTCATTCAACTTCATTTTAATGTAAGGTAGTTGACTCAAGCACAACTTAAAAAACATTCTCTGTAATTTGCTTTATGTATCATTATCTGGTATGATACTTCAATGCCAGTTGTCTTATGCAATACAGTGTGTGGTATTTGTAAGCTCCTGTTTGTAGAACTAATCTGTTCAAAAGGATCCTCCCAATGTTCTCCTCCCTGTCTTACCTTCAGATCATGAGAAAATGTGGACAGATTATATATTCTCTTGAAAAACATTGAAAAATGAAAGACTACCAGACTACCACTTGAGTGTGACGGGTTCTTTTTGTTTTTATTTAGCTTTAGCAGAAATCAAAACCATAAATATCTTTGGATTTACTCCTTACTTTACTTACTCCTTTACTACTTACAAAAATGAGACAAAAGGATGATCCTTGCAGAAGTAAACAAATCAGGAAGAGCTGTATCAGTTTAAAATGAATTTGCAATAATCAGTAATTGTCAAACAGAACAGTGTTATCCTTTCTTGTGCTGTGTAATGTTAGGTATTACAGGCATGACCATCATACAGATAGAGTTGATTGAATTATTTTAATGGCGTCATATAGAATTAATATATAAGTAATAGTAATTTTTGCTTATTAAAGTGAGTCTGAGAGATGGAGGACATGTTTGTGTTTGCTTATAAAACAACTTTTAAATAGCTTCTCTAAGCTTGATCATGTAAGGACTTCATGTCTGTGTTTCATTCTCTCTTCCTAACTCCTCGTTACTTCCTCCTAGAACAAACTTCATTTTTAGTTGGCATTTTTATTGCCTTGTGGCAGATGAGACCTGAGATGCTGAAAACGAAGTCTGACTTCATTTTACTTCTGAAAGCCCTGCTGTTGTCTAGCTATGGAAAGCTCTTGCTAATTCCAGCTGTCATTTGGGAACACGACTACACACCGTTGTGCCTCATGCTTATAAAAGTATTTGTCTTGACATCAAACTCTCAAGCAATTAGAGGTACTTTTTGGCTTCTTTATTAGTATACAATGGGTGCAGAACTTGTGTGAGAGAGGACGCAGCTGTGATGTATGTTATTGTTTCTATATTTTTAAGTCTTTAGCGAAAACAATGTTTATTATCAGATATATGATTAGAGTAGTCCTAAAACTGTGATCTTTGGACTTTCATAAAAAGTGAATGAAACAAAACATTTGTTAAAAAAACAGAACAAAGCTTTTATCTTACAGTCAATATCTTTGTAAAAGCCCTGTCCATCAGTTCAGCATGGAGCACTGAAACACAAAGCAGAATTCTTTGCGTGTCTAGAAGATGAAAGATACTTAGTTCTTATGTGTGGTTGCAAATGGGGTTGCAGGATTTAATGGATTTGTGTTATTTCTTATGCAAATATTTCCCACATGGTTTTCTGTGACCAGGAATGGATACATTTGTTCTATTTTCTTTTGCAGTTACATTAAACTTAAACCGGACGCTGCCTTGGTTGGCCATCTTCATTGGATTAGTTTTGGAAAATGGTGTAGTCTGCTTGTTCCAGAAGATGGGATGGAATGTTTGAAAAATCAGTCCAGATCTAAAGAAAACCCAGCACATGCTCTTGGTTGATCTTTGCCAACATTTCAAAGGATGATCTCTGCTAGTGGTCCCAAAGTCACTATTTTCATAGTGATGAAGAAAATGATAGGTAACACATTTTCGTTGGTGGTTTGCTGGAGACAGTTCTAGGATAAATTAAAATGAGAAACTGCAGAACTTCAGCCATTTAATGTGATGAGACATAAAACTTCAACTTTAGCTTGTTTATTTTCCCATCAAAAATATGAATGTGTCACTATCTTAAGAGCTTCATAAATCTGGCTGTATAGCTGTGGCTGTAGCAAGAAAGGTACACTGAAATAAAAAATCCAACACTGCTACCATGCATTTTGGCAGAAAGAGGGGGATGAATTGTTCCTTTAAGAAAAAGAAAATCAATCAGTAGGAAAAATGCAAAAAACAAAACTGATACTTCTACAAAAGTTGATTTTCAGAGGGAGAAATGAACACACACAAACAGATCGTTTGAGAAAAGACAAGTATTGTAAAGAGTAAAACTACAGTCAGAAAACTAGGTTGTATTCTCTGGAACGTCTAAAGAACAATCCAAAATAATAAAATACCAAGTTCTAGAGTAATCTCTAGGAGTTATGGTTTTAATTATCTTCATTTCATTTTTTTTATATGATCTTGTAAATCCTACTGCACTGTTCTGAAAGATGGAGAGGAGAGGACTCTGAGGTCCAACATGCATAAAAAGTGTTGCAGCTTCTGCTGCAGTTAATATTAATCCATCTCCCCTCAAAGCAGCCCTTACTGACAGCTGGCTGAGTGGAAGCACAAAGGGACGTATGAGGCTGCCTAGCAGAGTTCTTCTGTGGAGTAGAGCATACTGAGAGAGAAGCAAGGTTTGGATTAAATCAGGGAAAGCAGGTCATGGAAATTCTAAACCTTGCAGGCAGAGAGAGGGGGATAGATGGTCTGCAAAGGAAAATCATTTTCCCAAGCCAGTCAGCACACAGACCTACTCCTTTTCTGCAGACCAATTTCCACCATGCTGCATCCAAAGTTTATTTCTCCTGCTTCTTTCTGGAAGGTTGTAGTTCTGGCAATATGCACCACAGGTTCAGCTTCAATTCTTTGTTTTCCTCAGCTGCATTTCCTCTCCATCTTTTGCAAAACGTACTAAATGACATTTTGCAGTATCTGCAAATTAATTCTGAGCAGATCTAGAGTAAGTGTAGATTATGAGTCCAGAAGAAAAGGGACATCAGACACGTTAAAACTGTTGCAACTGCAATGCCATAGTAAGCTGTTTGAGATGAGGAAGGAAGTAATAAGCTATTTTGAGAGAAAAGCAAGTGCTTGCCTATGCTGTTACAGCAGGACAGAGGCTGACCACACTCGTGCGGCATTTGCTGAGTTCAGGGGCTTTCTGAGCCTGTGATGGTGTCGCCAGGGAAGGCAAAAAAAAGGGGGGGAGGGGGGACAAAAAATGCAGCTGCTCTTAAGTGTATGAAGCTACTTGACCGTGTGGCTGCCCCTACTAAGCACACAGTTGTGAGGCTGTATGAGGAACCCACCTGGCCATTGGTGTGAATCCGGGCCCAGCCAGCTGGCTGTGGGCTGCAGTTCTGGCTGAGCAGCAGCCAGGGGAACGCGGCAGCCGGCACGTGCTGGATGTACGTGTGTAGATCTGGGCACAGACTGCTGCGGGGYGGCAGCCGGGGCCTGGGACGGCGACTTGGGACACGGGGCCTCGTGTGGCTCGGTGCTGCTGATGGTCTTAGGTGGCTCGGTGTCCCTGCTGGAGCAGGGGAGTTGGACTAGGGGATCTCTAGAGGTCCCTTCCAGCCTCAGCCATTCTGTGATTAACCAGAGCTGACATGGCAAATGCAGGAATATTCTGTAAATCGAGGAGGAACGTGAGGATTCTGGGCCAGGGAGGGCAGCGTGGGCTTTTTGGTGCTTTTGGTGCTGCAGATTTCTGTAACTTTGAGAGCCTTCCTGTTTAACAGCCGTCTCCTTCACGTTTGTTTCTTCCCTTTGATCTCCGATATATTGTTCATATACTCTTTGCAATGAAATAATCTAATAATATAACTTTCTCCTTCCATGCGCTGGAAGACATATTACAAATAGCCTTTCTATATATCTTCAGTTGCTTCATTAACTTATTGTAAAAGACCTGAGTTAAAAAAATAAAAGTCTTCAAATAAACCTTTGTAAACTGTCTTGTTTTGCTTAGGATCTAATGAGACATCATGGCCTATGATTCGGCAGGATTGCCGAACTCTGTTGGGCAAAATGCAGTGATATTAGCTCAGAATTGAGCAGAGCAAAGATTTGGATGATGAGGCAGTGAAGGTTGAAAAGAGATGCTGGAAACTTCAACTGGCTCCACACACAGGTAAGGTAGCAAAAGCTTGGAAAATGCTCTATACAGCACCGAGCCAATAGAGTATTGGCTGCAAAGGAACAGTTAAAAGAGTGAGGGGGTTAGGTAGAAAGCTACAAAATTAAGAGAAGGCTGTAACAACTAAGGAGATAGGGGACTGTGAACCAAAGTTAGGAGGTAAGAAAAGATTAAGCTCCTCTTACAAATGTAGCATGAATGTATGGTTATGCAAATATATATATTGAAGCTACTCTTAAATTTTCTAAGGCTGAACATGAAGAAAGAATAATACAGACATTTCTGTAGTAGGTGAAATGATATCATGAATGCACAGAATGTCTTCCAATTAGTCTACTATGCCCTGGCTTTCCGTAGGAAAGTTAGTGATAATCCTATCGGAGTGGTTTGGACTCTGTCTTTGGGAACACACTGCTGAATTAGCAGTTATGCAGAGGGAGAATGAATCGCTTTGAGGACAGGAAAGAGCAGCCGCAGGCGCCGCAGAGCTTCTGCATCCGCCGCTCAGGTTTAGCGGGTGGAAGGAGGGTCCGCGGCTCCGGGACCCCTGCGCGCGCGGACACGGGAGCCTCTCGGAGCCGCCGCGGGTCGGGCTCCGTCCCGTGAACTGCCCTTTGTTACTGCCGGCCCTGCACAACTGCACACAGAGCAGCACAGCTGCGCCGGGAAGCTGCGAGCTGCGCTGGGAAGCTGCGAGCAGCTCCCTTTCCCTGAAACAACCCAACCATTGTGTGGTTCTCAGGAGCTTGCGCGCTCCTGCTCTTCCCCATTCTCCTCCAGCTGGGCGATCCTAAGCCCCACAGTGCCACCTGCAGCATAAAACTCAAGTACTTGGCTTTCCCGTACTGGCGGGAGGGAAAGCATGGCCACTATAGCTAGCTTCAATTAATTCATGTTTTATAGAATCACAAATCCAGGCTTTTCAAATTAACATTCATTTCCAGTTCAGGAAAACAGTTGTTGATCAAAACAGCCCACAAAATAATTTTTTGGTGACAAAGTCAATTCACTGTATTCACCATAAGAGCTATGAAATGAAGATTATTTTATCGTGGCCATCTGTTTGTTTAAGAATTGCAAGATCTTGCAAGCTGGGATTATTCTAAGTAGTCTCACTGAGTTCAGAGGAAATCCATATGGCAAAAGGCAGAGTGAACACATTTCACTGCTAAAAATCAGTAGGAATTTTGTCACTGAATTAATTTGAAATAGCATCACACCCAGGTTGCCACAGTTAGAGTGCGCAATGCATGTAACAAGATCTCTGTTTTCTGTCCTGCTGCTTTTTAACACCATTCTGACCTCCTTAGTCTTTGCAATAATACTCTGGTGGCCAGAAAGAAGGTCTGAGAATGAGGGGCTTTTAACATCTTTTCCCAAAACATGAAATACTGTCCTAAATACGTAAAGTGCTTCCGAGCACTATTTAAATAAAGGGCAAGTCTGCAAAGGGCTTAGGAAATACGGACAACAAGGCTTTAAGTGTTCTTCATTAGGAAAAGAGATTTTTTTTCTGGGTAAAAAATGGTTTGAATTCATTTACATACTAACACTTTGGAGTGTGAACATGTGCAGTCTGAACATGTGCTGGCTGCTACAGAGAAAAGTCCAGTTGACCCCACGATTTCTTACAGCCTTTAACAGTAACACTGAGTATATTTTTGGGCAAAAACAGAATGTTGTGCATAAGCTGCATGGAGATGCCTCCCGTAGCCATGTGCACACAAGACCTGAATCCTGGTGCTGAATACGAGCCCGGCTTCTGCTGTGACTGAACAAGTCACTGCCGTGTCTCCATGGTGTGGTTGTGTCACCACCTCCACAGGAGTGTGAGGAGAATTCGTTTGATGTTCTCCTCTTAAATAGATGTCCTCTTAAGTCTCCCTAGCTGCAGGTTAACAGCTGGGAGTCAGTTAATGCTCTGAACTTTGGATATTACAACTGATGTGCCAGAAGCCAGAGAATAGGGAATACTGAGTTTGACCTGTTTAAGGAATTCTTTGTTGTGTTAATAGAAGCTAAAATTCTCATTCTCACAAGCACACAATTCTATAACATACATGTATGTGTGCATGTTTGCTTTGGGGGGCATATATGGTCAACTGTGAATCCCTTAACATAAATTTTTAGAAGTTCCTACAGCCACTATGTACCAAAATAAATGTGAAATTATTACTAAAAGTGGTGTGAAGGCAACTAGCATATTAACTGATGTTATTTTCAACTATCTGAGAAGAAAATTTAAGGTGTCCTATTTCATTTGCAAGTATGAGGTTTTGAGGTGTAAGATACGGTCATACATAAAAACTTTCTTAAAAAAAAAATATGAATCATTAGTATTTATTCAACAAGTGAACCCCAAAACATTTCACAAATTTTAACAACAAAACTTCAGCAACATGGAAACATTCTCCTCCCAGAACTGCTCATTCCTCTGCTTGCAGGCATCCACGGGCATTACCTTTAAGGAATGTCAGGGCCCACATGCCTGATGCCATCACAGACGCATCGCTCCTAAACTTTGGTGCCTACTTTGGTCCCTCCCTTCACCCCCCGTGCAAGGCTTTGGTCCCGACCTTCAAAGCGTTGACGTATCACGTCTTGGCTCCAGCAGCGATAGCATCTCTTTCCCCCAGTCAGGCGACTACAGCAACTCTTTTGATCAACAGAAATCAAAAGCCAGCAGTAGCCTAATAATAACCAGGAAGAAAACATCCTCCACTAGGAGCATCAGCTGCATAATAAGGCGCCACAGAGCAGCGTTAGGAAAAGAGGGCTTGGACTTTGCGAGGCAGGAGTTGGAATGGGTACGTGGCGCGTGCTCCTCAGCACTTCTTCCCCAACAAGGATCTCTGTTTCCCTGCAAGGACATTTGTCCTATTTAGCCATGCGGAAGCGGCAAGCGAGCTGTAGAGCTCGGAAAACACAGCCCATCTCACGCTCTTTCCGTCGTGGGAGACAGCATCCTGAATCTAGGACATTGCTGGGTAGTCAAGAGTTTTTTTCAGCAACAGGAGACACAGCACAAAGAAAATCACTGCAGCTGCCTTACTCTGAACAGACCATTGACAAACTTTGCTATGGAAGAAAATCGTGAACTTTGCTGCACAAGATATACACAATGGTGGATATACATTTCTTTACATAACAACATGAAGAGACTTGGTTTGTATTAAAACTTGTATATTTTAACACTTCGTTTGATGCTCCTTCCACTTTAAGTAGATTTTTCTCTGAAAACTTTCCTTTTCCTGCTCATTTGTATTATGCCACATGTGTAAATAATGTGGGAGGGAGGGTGATCGAAAGCAAAGGGTCAATCCTGTTCTTTCAGCATATGTGTTTGCGCCTTACCTAACATGAGACTATCTAGTTTTTAGCCACAGCACCTTGTTGACGTGACCTGAGCTGCACCACAACAGGCTCTCCACCAAAGGCACGGGGCACCTGCCAGAAAGGCGCCTCCTCAAAATAGTTTGCATGCGCAACAGTACAGATCATATCAGCTGAAAAAAAATATTTCAAGTCATGTCTTTGATGAGACAGCATCACAAGTGTATGCAGATCTGATCTCCCTTCCCTCATGGCTACGCATCCACTTTCATTACAAACATGAGACATTTCATTACAAAAAGCCACGGGGATGTAACTCAGCTGCGGGAGCTCTTCCCTGGGGAGTTCCGAGGGGGTTTTTGATTCCCTGCAGGGAGCCCCGGGGAGCAGAGTGGAGCGGGAAGCCCTGGTGCA